TATATATATATATATATATATATATATATATATATATATATATATATATATATATATATATATATATATATATATATATATATATATATATATATATATATATATATATATATATATATATATATATATATATATATATATATACTTTTTCTTTTTTGAAAACCTATTGAGAATCTCCATTGGAAGTGTATTCGCCTTATTCACATTGTTTGTGTCTCGAAAGCAGAACATGTATGTTGTTAGACTTGAGGTGAAAGAGTAATATAACATCATACATGCTATTCATCTAACATGTGATGTAAGTTCTCTGTGGTACGTACACAAGTTTTTTTTTCTTTTGATAAAAATGTTAAGTATATTTACCATTTTCAATTTGTGACAGAATACAATGGAAACAAGAAGCAGAAGTACAGAAAGTAAACTAATCAACAACACCAAATAACAAGAATGAAAAAACGCAGACCAACTAAAATCTAGCAAGACATCGCCTACGCAGCATTACCTTAACTGAAGGGAGAGGATAGCAACATGTATTAGAATGTCCCACATCGGTTAATGATGTGATTTTTGGATAATATATATATATATATATATATATATATATATATATATATATATAATATATATATATATGTGTGTATGGTAATCTTTCATTTTTGAGCTAACTTTTAGGTGTAAGTTAAACCTATCACTAATATGGTATTATAGTCTATGGTTTAACCCAGCATTATGATTTTCTATATAAACAGTTTCCTACCTATGTAGCCTGTAAAAGTGACCCATACGCTGTGGTATTTCCGAAATGTTGGACTTGGGATGTTTTCCTGTGGACCGTTTTCGATCCACATCTCGAGAGGAGCTATTAGAATGTCCCACATCAGTTAATATATCGTTGGGGAATATATATGTGTATAGGAAATCCTCCACTCTTGAACTACCTTTTGGGTGTGAGTTATGCATACCACTAATAACAGGAGATCCAATTGCCGATGTTGTGAAGGAGAGAGCTTCGATTAAGACGCGAGCTCGAACCCGGTAGATATTGGCTGTTCCCGGTGTCTGCCTCGTAAAGATTAGCTCTCAACCAATGTTTTTAAACCCGACCCGAATACTAAACTGGACGATTTACCGGATCATTGGGTCATTGGGTCGACCGCGGGTGAACCGCATATTAATAAATGAAACTTTATTATATAATAATACATTAGCTATGAAAATAAAAATATAGAAACTAAAGTTAAATATTTTCTAAATGTTTTTAAAACATAAAATGTATAAATATACAAAATATCAAAAACTAGTTTATTAAAAAATTTATGACAAGTTAAGAGTAATGACATCTAAAAAATCAAGATATAAAATTCATAAATATTTAAATGTCTAGTGAGAATAATAAATTTAACATCAAATCCAAAATAAACCAAAAGTAAAACATCATTGTAATAAATTGTCAATAACAAAAATAAACTAACACCAAATCACATCAACTAAATTTGGTTCTCGCTACCACCTTTTAGTTCATTTTCTTCAGGTGACATGGTGAAATCTTCATCAAAATCTAAAAATCACAGATAAAATAATATAGTAGGTATTATGTATGAAAAATGTCAGAAAGCTTAATCCAAATTTAAAGAAGAAGACGGCGATGCCAATAACTAAAACGTGAAAACCTAACTTTTAAATTAGAAATTCAGAATATAAACATAATAAAACATAATTTAAGACTAAAAAAAAGTTTGGTTCAACCAACGGTTCAACCGGCATCGGGTTTTGGGTTTTAGTGGGATTTTCCGGATTTCTGCAGGTTTTTTAATTTTAGGTTTTTAACAAAATCCGAACCAAATTTATTTTGGATCACTGGGTTTACCAGTTCAACCACGGATCCGAGTCGGGTTTCAAAACACTGCTCTCAACCCACATAAGTTAATAGAGTGCATGCATTCATCTGATATTGATAGAATGATAACTAAGTACATATGGAAACACACTGTCGTGGAGCTTCCAAAAAGCATGGCCAGACTCATAAGTGAGATGGGTTCATACTTACATCACGTGTCCTCCTTTCTACTGCACAATGGCGAGATTCGTAGGGCGATGATGGACTGTCTCCAGATATTTAGAGTGGAAGGTACCATGGTAGCTTAACAAGAACACAACTTCTTTGTAGGGGACGGGGTCCTAGATGTAAATATATTATTAATCAACTTGTAGATTTGGTTTGCTTCCAAAAGTGGTGGGCTCTACTAATATTCGTTTGCTTGGCCATTGTTTTTGTGTCGGTCACTATTACGTTATGTGTTAGAACATCAACAAAAATCTTATTTTGAATGTCAAAGGCTTTTAAAATAAGAGTTTATCAATAATAACAGAAATGTGAAATATATTGAATATTTGGTCGAAATATATATTATAAAAATTAAAATAATAAAAAAATTATTAGTACAATTATATGTAAATTAGATAAATGAAATAAAATGAAAAATAAATAGTTTTGAAGGGCTTCAACAATAGACTCTCAAATTTGAAAATCTACTTAAAAGTTTAAAGGTCTGCTAAAGACAAGTTGGAGATATTCTTATGTCGTAACTTGTAATTCTAATTCGTAAATACACATTTTAACACGTTTTTATTTATTGTGAGAAGTACCATGATTACTGATTTTTTTTTTTGAACAAAACTACCATGATAGGTATCTGAAATTGGATATTCAAGAAAAAGATATTTTCGCGGAGTGACCAATGCACACGTACGGTTAGGCATGGGTAAAAAAACCGGAACAAAAAAACTGAACTGGAACCGAACTGAAATACCTAAAATCGAAACCGGAGCAAAATTTTTAAATATTTGAATGGTTCCTATATTTTTATACCCGAAAAACCGAAATGGAACCGGAATCGAACCGAGAACCGAACATGTACCCGAAAAAGTTATTTTTTTTTAAAATAAGATAAAATGACACCAAGCCCACTTGAACTCAGGTTAGATACAAAGAGTAAGTACATTTTTACCACTAGACCATATTCTGTTTTATTTATTCTGTTATATTATAAATATATATAGTATTTCTATATTAAAATATGATAAATATTTATAAAATTAACATTTTATTGATTTGAACTCTTGTTGGATTGACTAATATGTAACCATGTAAACACTAGACCATTTAAATTAACATATTAACTAATATACTCTATATATAGATATGTTTGATTTATATATTAAATGGGTATTCGGAACCGAACCGAAACCGAACTGGAACCGAACCGAAACCGAAGCAAAATCTCATAAATACCTATCGGATATAAAAATTATTTATCTGATATACCCAAAACCAAATGGTTCCTATCCGGAACCGAACCGAATGTCCAGGCCTGTTAAATGATTAAATCTAGAATCAAAACATGTTTCAACCACATACATAACTTTCAAAACTCCAAAACAGTAGATGCGTTAACTGCATTTTTGCCGAGTTAAAACATTTAAAGAAAATACTATGATAATATGTACTTTGGGAGACTAGTTGTACAAATTCAGTAACATTTACACAGCTGTATTCCATCGAAAATCACCTTCATATAGTAGCTAGCTTCCATCCTCCATGCGCGCACTCAAATCACAATGAACCTCCACCTTCATCTCTCTATCTTCTTCGCTATTCTCTTCATCTCTCTCCCATCCTCTTACAGCTGCACCTCATACGAGATAAATGCCCTCCTTCAAATCAAGAAATCTTTTAACAACTCACGTTCCCTCTCCTCATGGAATCCTCAAACCGACTGTTGTACTACCTGGTCTGGCGTCGTATGCACTAACGGCCGCGTCACAAACCTCTTAATGGGCCCCAGCAAACTCTCATCAGGTCAGATCCCTGACCAAATTGGCGACCTCCTTGACCTCCGTGTAATTTCGTTCAATTACTTGTCACATCTCACCGGAAACATACCACGTACCATCACCAAACTCAAGAACCTTGAACTCTTTATCATAAGGCATTGCAATCTCTCTGGTCCAATTCCTGATTACATCGGCGAGCTCAAAAACGTAACGTTCTTGGACCTTTCCTATAACAACTTTACCGGCCCTATTCCCGGTTCGCTTTCTCAGATGCCGATGATTCAGGACATTATATTAAACCACAATAAGCTAACCGGTTCTATACCGAACTCTTTCGGCTCCTTTGTAGGCAACGTCCCTGATCTCTACTTGGCTAACAATAAGCTCTCAGGTAACCAGTATTATTGTTTTAATATTTTTAATTTCCTGATTATAACTTTAGGTTAAAATGTTGGACCTATATATAAACGGATAAAGGGATTTTATAAATTATTAATTAATTTAATGAAGTAATGAACTAGATTATTATTATTTTTGATAATTCAATATGGTTTCCCTGGCAGGAAAAATACCGGAGTCGTTGTCAAAGAACAACTTTAATGTAGTAGATCTGTCGAAAAACAGTTTCACAGGAGATGGTTCAATGTTTTTCGGAGGGAACAAACCATCGTCAACAGCATATGATCTGTCCAGAAACATGTTTGAGTTCGATCTCTCCAAGGTTAAGTTCGATGAGAACATACTTGATTTGGATCTGAGCCATAACCGAATCTTTGGGAACCTTCCAAAGGAGTTGACTGGGCTAAGTCTCCGGCTTTTCAACGTTAGTTACAATCGTCTCTGCGGAAAAATCCCACGAGGTGGTAAACTTCAGACCTTTGAACAATATGAATTCGCTCACAACCGTTGTCTTTGTGGGCCTCCACTTAAGAAGGCTTGTTAAATGGTGTTTGTGAACAAATATTATGTCTTATCTTATAGTGATGATGTGTTAATTATCACCGCCTATCAAACGAATTGTTGCTTTTAATAAATTAATGGTAAGAAATTGATAACAAAAATGTTGTTGGGACACTTACAAAAAAGAAAAAAAAATGTTGTTAAATTATCTTCTAGCATATCGCTGACGTTGAGACAGACCACCACACACGTGAAAAAAATATGTTGTAACTAAGTTTTTCTAACAATTTTATCTTTGGTTTGTCTTTTTTTTAGCAAAAAAAAAAAAAAAAAGAAGATTTAGAGTATAGTGTAAATCCGTATTCAAAAATTCAATTTCTGTTAGAAACAAAATTATGTTTGACTATCCACAACATTAGTCAGAGAAAATAGACAATGCAAAACAATTGGCAGAGATGTGGAATGTGGAAATTGAGATGGCTTTCTCCGAATTGCGTATATATATCAAACGGGAAGAAACTTATTTGTTAGCTAATACTCACTCTATTTCTTATTGTTAGTAGATTAAGACAGTTTTTCTTTGTTTCAAATATACCTCCTAAAAAAGATTCACTATACCTTTAAATCTTTTTATTAGTCGGCCAGATATATGTTCCAAGTGCTTGAATATTTTCAGCGTACTGTATAAGTGATGTCATAATCTACTCATCTCATATGGTATATTATGTCCATTTTAAAGTTGTAAATTTTTCTACCAATTCAATATAAAGTAAAAACTTTATAAATTAATAATACTTAGGCTTATTAATTTATTGAGTTATTAATTTACAAAAACATCGTGTTTGGGTTTTTCTATTTTACAATATTGCTTTTTTGTAAACTAAGAAAAAATAGTTGATTTTACTGTTTATATATTTATTATTTGATGTATTTGAGATATATATCATACAACAAGTGTGTGTTTTAGATATAACTTTAATAAATATCATAAAAATATTAGAAAGTCTTTAAAAATACAAAATAAACTTCATTGTGAATGTAAAACAAACAATGTAATGTACTTATTTGTACTTATATAAATATAAAATTATTAATTTATGCTTTTGATGAGAATATATATTTACATGAGATTTTCTGAAAATAGTCTTTTATCAATTTTTGTTTTATTTTGATGAAACTCAACATGAGACTGGCGAAGTTTATTAATTTATCGGATATTAGTTTATAGAATGTTACGTCTACATAGTATATTACATCTAAATTTCCGCAAAAAACATCAACGCAATATTACGTAAAGAAAATTTATCCATCAATTTCCCACGTAAAGCGCGGACCTTTACCTAATATCTATGATAATTTACAAATTTACATCTATTAGACTATTTGTGCAGCCAGAATAAATGACTCTTAAAACACTTCCGGTGAGAATTCTCAACTTAATGTTCTCAAAATATAAATATCTCAATTTTACGGAAAACCAACTCGTTATTTTTAAAGGAGATACTTACGGTTGGTTACCCATAAAGTATATATACCCATAATTAAATATATATATATATATATATGTATATATATTCTTTTTCCTTTTTTGAAAACTTTAATTTGAGAGTCTCCCCTGGAAATGTTCTTAGATTCGCTTTATTCACATTGTTTGTCTTTGGAAAGTAAAACATGTATGTTGTTAGACTTGAGGTAAAAAAGTTATACAATATCATACATGCTATTCATCTAACATCTTAACATATTTGCTATCATGTGATGTAAGTCTACTGTGGTACGTACACAAGTTAATAGAGTGCATGCATTCATCTGATATTTGATAGAATGATAAATACATATGGAAACACTCTGTCGTGGAGCTTCCAAAAAGCATGGCCAGACTCATAAGTGAGATGGGCTACATGCTTACATCACGTGTCCACCTTTCTGCTGCACAATGGTCAGATTCGTAGGGCGATGATGGACTGTCTCCAGAGGTTTAGAGTGGAAGGAGCCATGGTAACTTAACAAGAACACTTCTTTGTAGGGGCCGGGGTTCTGTAAATATGTTAATCTCCTTGTAGAATTGGTTTGCTTCCAAAAGTGATGAGCTCTACAAATATTCATCTGCTTGGCCATTTTTATTATTGTCTTTGTGTCGGTCAGTGACTCATTAGGGCTGGATATTTTATCCATTAAATTTGATTAAATTCGTTATTTATTTCGATTCGATTCGAAAATTTTGATATCCGTAAATATTCGAAGCAAAGTAAATACTAAAAATCAATATCCGTTAAAATCGAAGCAAATCATAAGTAGTTAAAATTTTGGAAAGTGGATATCTGCTTTTATATTTAAAGTTTTAATATAAATTATATAATTATTATTCTAACCTATAATTCAACAAATTCTATTCACATTATTACTTATATAAAACTCTTACATAAAAATAAGAGAAAAAAACTTATGAAAATTATAATTTTTTTTCTTAAGTTTTGTGTTATTATAATTGTTAACTAAGTTTGAAAAAATTACAAAAGATGTAAATTCACTACTTCTTTTAATTTTTATTTTATATATCATGCAAAAAATATTTTACAAAAAAAATTTGTGTAGAGTTCTTAAGATTATATGTATTAATCAAACCGGATGACATATCCGTAAGTATTCGTAAATATCCACAGATATATTTTTATTTTTTATATATCCATTTTCCGGATATTTGTATTTTTCTGAAACAAAGTAAATCGAAAAATTAGATATATGTAACATACAAAGCAAATCAAAAATACCTTCGAAAACCCGAATATCCGATTCGTGCCTAGGCCTATCGGTCACTATTATGTTCTATTTGTTAAAGCATCTGAAATAAAAGATCTTATTCTGAAGGTCAAACACCTCTAAAATAAGAGTTTGAGGATGAATTAATCTAACAAAGAATCTCAAATTTATCTTCAAAATTTTATGTGATTTATATTTTAGTCCTCAACTTCAATGCAATTTAATTATTGTTATTAAACTCTATATGAATAAATAATACATACACAATATTAAACATGATAAGTGTAATTCATATATAGATCTTTTGGTTTCACCATTTAAAAAAAAATACTTTTAAAAGTGCATCAATTGAAGAAAAAAGTTATGAAATGATTCAACTACATATGCATAATATTTATGTTTAGCTATTTTAATTTTAATTTTTACATACTTATGTATTTATGTATCAATAATAACATATATGTAAAATATATTGAATATTTGGTCGAAATATATTTTATAAAGATTAAAATGATAAGATAATTAATATTAGTACAATTATATATAAGTTAGATAAAGAGAACAAAAATGTAAATAGTATTTAAAGGACTTTATCAGACACCAACAATGATAGTATCTCTAGGAGTTTCTCACCAATTCAAAAAATGAAAATAAAGAAAAAAGAAGAAAGAGAATGAAAAGGTGGAAGAGAGAAGGTAGAGACATCTCTCTACAAAGAGATTCTTTCTTGGTAATGAGGTACTCTAATTCCAAATGTCATTTTGTTGTTGATTGAATAAATTAAACATAAAAAAAAAATTATAAAAGTTAAACAACAATATATTTATTTTTTGAGAGCTTCGTGTTGGTTCTTTCCACTGCTGATGCTCTCACTAGCTTACTAAGAACACATCTTCTTTATAGGGGACGGGGTCCTATATGTAAATATGTTAAGATCATCTCCATTGAGAATTTTTTAGCAGAATATAAAAATTCGTCTCTTAACTTTTAACTAAAAAAGTTAAAAATCGATTATTAAATAAAATATTTAATAACCGATTCTTAAGCTTTTAATTTAAAATTAAGAGACAAACCTGATATTCTGTTAAGAATTTCGCCCTAAAAGAAAATCTAGTGAAAGTGCTTTAATCTCCTTGTAGAATTGGTTTGCTTCCAAAAGTGGTGGGCTCTACTAAGATTTGTTTGCTTGGCCATTTTATATAATTGTTTTTGTGTCGGTCACTATTACGTTCAGTTGTTAGAACATCTCTAACAAAAAAAATCTAATTTTAAAGGTTTTTTAAAGGGTTTGAGGATGGATTATTCCAACAAAAAAATCTCAAATTTATCTTCAAAATTTATTAATTTATAATTTAGTCCTAAACTGTAATATAATTAAATTATAGTTATTAAATTTTCTACAAGTAAATTGTACATACACAATATTAAACATGATAATTATAATTCATATATAGATATTTTGGTTTCACAATTTTTTTAAAAAGAATAGTTGAAAAATGCATCAATTGAAGAAAAAAATATATGAAATGGTTCAACTACATATACATAATATTTACGTTTAGGTATTTTTATTTAAAATTTTACATATTTATGTATTTTATGTATCAATAATAACATATATGTAATATATATTGAATATCTGGTCGAAATATATTTTATAAAGATTAAAATGATAAAAAATTAAGATTAATACAAGTACATGTAAGTTAGATAAATGAAATAAAATGAAAAGTAAGTAGTATATGGAAGACTTCAGCAGTGGGCCCTTTAAATTTGAAGATTCACTATTGAGACTTCAAAATTTAAAATTTTAAAAATTTGTTTGGAAACAAAATACCTCAAAATTTGAAAGTTTAAAGGCATATTGAAGATGCTCTTATGTGGTAATTAGTAATTCTAATTCGTAAACATACATTTTAACACGTTTTTATTTTATTTTGAGAAGTACCATGATTACTGATTAGGTATCTGAAATTGGATATTCAACCAAAAGATATTTTCGCGGAGTGACCAATGCACGTACGGTTAAATGATTAAATCGAGAATCAAAACATGTTTCAACCACATGCATAATTTTCAAAACTCCAAAACAGTAGATGCGTTAACTGCATTTTTGCCGAGTTAAAACATTTAAAGAAAATACTATGATAATATGTATGGGACTAGTTGTACACAAATTCAGTAACATTTACACAGCTGTATTCCATTGAAAATAACCTTTATATAGTAGCTAGCTTCCATCCATGCGCGCGTCAAAGTAACCCCACTCAAATCACAATGAACCTCCACCTTCATCTCTCTATCTTCTTCGTTATTCTCTTCATATCTCTCCCATCATCTTACAGCTGCACCCCCAACGAGATAAATGCCCTCCTTCAGATCAAGAAATCTTTTAACAACCCACGTGTCCTCTCCTCATGGAATCCTCAAACCGACTGTTGTACTACCTGGTCCGGCGTCACATGCAATAACGGCCACGTCACAGACCTCTTTATCCCACCCAGCAAACTCTCAGGTCAGATCCCTGACCAAATCGGCGACCTCCTTGACCTCCGTGTACTTTCTTTCAATTACTTGCCACATCTCACCGGAAACATACCACGTACCATCACCAAACTCAAGAACCTTGACTCCCTCATCTTAAGGCATAACAATCTCTCCGGTCAAATTCCTGAATACATCAGCGAGCTCAAAAACCTAACGTTCTTGAACCTTTCCCATAACAACTTTACCGGCCCTATTCCCGGTTCGCTTTCTCAGATGCCGATGCTTCAGAACATTATATTGGAACACAATCAGCTAACCGGTTCTGTACCGAACTCTTTCGGCTCCTTTGTAGGCAAAGTCCCTAATCTCTCCTTGTCTAACAATAAGCTCTCAGGTAACAATACTCCCTCGGTTGCAGTTTCATTCTAGACTAAAATTTTTGTTTTAAAATAAGTTAAAATAAATATCGTTTTAAAATTTCAATACAAAATTTATTGACTTGATTTACTATTATATTTTTAGTGGTTAAAATGTGATTAATTATATAGATAATTGTGTTTTTTTCTAGAAAATATGCAAAATTAAATGTTTTCTTAATATATGTGCAAAAACCCAAAATGATAAGTAAATTGAAACGTTGGACTTACTAACAATTAAAGGATTTAGAAAAGATATTAATTATTTTTAATGAATTAGCACTAAATTATACTCCCTCTATTTTTAATATATTCTATGTTTTAGAAAAAAAATTGTTTCTAAAAAATATGTATTTCACATTTTCAATATATATAATAAAAGAAAATTTTAAAGACATTAATTGTGTTAATTAAATTTTGATTGGCTAAAAATTAAATAAAATAATTAGTCACAAAATAATATATTTATTAATATATTTTTTAATATGTGTGAAAAGTGAAAACTATAAAACATGCAACATTTTCAAACAGATGAAGTGTATATTTCTAAAGTTTAATAAATCATAGTATTCAATAAGGTTGTGCTGGCAGGAAAAATACCGGAGTCGTTGTCGAAGAACGACTTTAACGGAGTAGATCTGTCGAAAAACAGTTTCACAGGAGATGGTTCAATGTTTTTCGGACGGAACAAAACATCAATAACAATTTTTCTGTCGAGAAACATGTTTGAGTTCGATCTCTCCAAGGTTAAGTTCGCTGAGAGCATACTGGATTTGGATCTGAGCCATAACCGAATCTTTGGGAACCTTCCAAGGGAGTTGACTGGGCTAAGTCTCCGGCGTTTCAACGTTAGTTACAATCGTCTCTGCGGAAAAATCCCACGTGGTGGTCTCCTTCAGACCTTTAAATCATATGAATTCTCACACAACCGGTGTCTTTGTGGGCCTCCACTTAAGAAGGCTTGTTAATTGGTGTTTGTGAACAAATAATTATGTTTTATGTTTTGAAACTCGACCCGGACATGCGGTTGAACCGATAAACTCGATGACCCAAAATAAATTTGGTTCAAGTTTTGTTAAAAATCCAAAATTTAGAAACCCGCAAAAACCCCAAAAAATCTACTAAAACCCAAAACCGGTTAAATCATTGGTTGAACCAATAAATAAATTTTTACTATTTTTTATATGTTTTATATCTAAATTTCAAATTTAAAAATTAGATTTTCAAGTTTTTTTTATTGGCATTACCGTTTTCTTGTTTCTCTACTCACTTCTACTACTTTGTATATCCTTTTTTTCTTTGGTTTTGATTATTTTGTTTATCATAAATCTACTATACTACATGTTCTAAATTCTACTACATGTTAAACTAGTTTTTGATATTTTGTATACTTATTCATTTTATGTTTTAAAAACATTTAGAAAATATTTAACTTTAGTTTATATATTTTTATTTTTCATAACTAATATATTATTTATAAAAAAATTTCATTTATTAACATGCGGTTCACCCGTGGTCGACCAAATGACCCGGTAAATCGTCTGGTTTAGTGTCCGAGTCTGGTTTAAAAACACTTGTTTTATCACCGCCTATCAAATGAATTGTCGCTTTTAAGAAATTAATGTTAAGAGATTGATAATAATACCGCGATTGGTACGACATATGATTAAGCATTAGTAGTATGCTGTAGAAGTAGTATGATGCAGAAGTTGTATGCTTTCAATAAAAAAATTAATAAAGTGATTGGAAGACCAGTAGTAGTATACAATTTTAAAATTATCAAAATAGTTGATATAAGAAATATTTATATTAAAATATATGTATATATTTATAATATATTTGTTATTAAAAATAATGAATCTTATTCATTATATAAAATTATATTATAGTTTATATGTAAAATATTATTATTTAAAATGCAATTTTTTAAAAAATATTAAATTATTTTTGGATATAAAATATTTAATTTTATTAGTTAAATAAATAAATTATATATAAATTATAAAAATTATTATTGTTTATGATAGAACGGTAAATGATTCATATATAAAATTATCATAAAAATTAATATATGTTATATAATTTATTTATTCGTGTCTAATTAATATACATATATATATAGACGTTTATATACATATATGTTTATATTTATAATAAATAAATATATATTATGTTATGTTTGTTATTAAAAATAATGAATGATATGTGTAATTATATAAATTATATTTTATTTTAAATGTGAAGTATTGTTATTTTAAATAATTTTCATTTTATTTTAATTTTTCAAAATATAAATTTATTTTTTTTAAAAAAATATTGTAAATGCAAATGATTTACCAAAAGCTAGCATTGAGCAAATAACATTTGGTAAATGATTTTCCAAATGTTTCTTTGACAAATATTGATTGGATAATAACATTTGTTAACCGATCAAGTTCTAAGAATGTTGTTGGGACTCATACAAAAAGAAAAGAAAAAATGTTGTTTTCTACCAAAAGTTAATGTTGTTGAGATGTTCGAAGTGTGGTAAATAGCGTTAATTAACGACAACACTATGATAAATTATCTTCTAGCCTATCGCTGACGTCGAGACAGACTTCGTTTTGTTTGCATTCTAAGAATAATCTTTTGTGACCTTCCTCCAACATGCATACAGTGTGAGTGCTTAAAACAACCTTGAACTAAGCTTGCATACACACAGCAATATCAAATTTTTTGTTTCTTCGTTAGAGAGATGCACTTGTGTTTTTATTATGGAATAGGTGATTAGAATAAAGAGCTTCAACTTTCAGGTAACTATAGATATCATTTTTTACGAGCAAATGATGAGACTTGCAGAAAATACATACACCTTTTTATTTTATTTGCAATGATCTTTTTTATTTTATTTGCAATGATCTTCGATCTTGAAAGTCATTAACATTGATTTCCTGGCCACGGTGCTTATCGAACTGAAAATCATCTCAAAAATCTTGAGAAGATGAGATTCTACATCAGTTCCTACGAGATCTGAAGGTATTCAGATTCCGGACGAGTTGACATCATCATCATCTTTTATATTATAAAACAGAAGTCATTTGACAATTGTGTGACTAACATGTGTCATCCAAAAAAAATTTAAGTCTTTTCTAAAAAAAATTGTCAACATTTTCTTTTTCAGACGAGCAGTTGAATCAAAAGTGAATTATTTTTTCAACTTCCTTCCCACTATCTATTTATAACTCCTTTATTCCCACTATTTTTATGGTTAAATTATTCATACCATCCTGCCGAGCAGACTACATAAACAATCATAACATGTAACTCAATAAAAATGATCAAAAACCAGAAAAAGTTCGTAGATTGTTTTGGATTTGTTTGATAAATCTTTGTGTCAATTTTATACAGATATTGAAGTTAATCGAGAAGAAGAGGACTTACACGTTTCGGTAAGCATTGACTATTACTCTTTTCTTTTGAGTTGTGGTTATATATCAATTCACTTTCTTTCATTATTGGCAGCCAAAATAGATGGATATTATGATAACTATTAGAAACACCATCAACAACTTCCTGAATAAGAATAACATTATTCTTGAACCAGGTTTGTTTAATTGTTGTTCTCTGTCTTTGATCGTTAATTTATTTCAAACAATTGTTTGGTGTTTGTTTTTTTCTGTATATTTACTTATTTCATAAATCTTTTTTTTTGGTGATAAGGTCAACACATTAGTAGAAAGAATGAAATCAAAATTTATGTGGCTTTGAATAGAATGTTATCAGTGTGATGATGAGACTATTTAGTTCAATAACATGCGTAGAGAAGCTAATTAAAATCAAGTATGTGCATTTGATTATGTTCCATAAAAAAAAAAAAAAACTCAAGAACAAGCAAAAGCCGTATGATTACAATTTGTCTATCGCCAAGCTATGAAATTCATCTTTTTGATTTGTTTTTGACAACAAGTTTAATATATCAATTAAGGAAGTGCATGTTTTATTATTTCATGCAAGATTGTTTGTTTTTATCTAAATAAAAAATCAAATTTTTATGGCTTTGTTATATCTTAATAAATTTGGATTTTTGTTTTATGTAAAGTCAAAGCTAATACAATAATTTTTATATTCCTTGCTAACTATTTATATTTATGTTGTTCATAATTAACATTGTTCTAATAAAAATACTATTTGGAATAGTACAAAATATGTTTTTGAATTTAGAATGTCACGGTATTAAACATTACTATGCCCATGCATAGCATGGGCACAATCCTAGTATTATAATAACACATGAGACAAATACCAAACGGAAATCTAAAGCATAAAAAGCATAAAACATGTAAAAATTCGAAAACATAATAGGCTATCATGAAGGTGAATGATTTAAGACTAATCCCTGTCATGAAGGTGAATTTAAAACTATATCATCTCCTCATCCAAACCTGAGATAATAAAACGTAAGATTGCTTGACCCGTTTTACATTCTTTCTCCTTTTGTATTTTTCTTTATCCTTTTTTAATTGCAGAAAATAATGGAAAATGGTTTTAAGGATTTTAACCAAATAAACATTTAACCAAATAAAAAATTAAATCATATGATAATAAATCAATAATAACTAGAAATTTTTTTTGTTCATAATAGATTTGCACTAATCCTACTTAGATCATCATAATCTTTTAGCAAGCAGTTACAACCTCTCTAGCTCCTTTTGAATCTTCTTCTTCTTCCTCCTCTCTGTCTCTCAAAAAAACAAACAACAATGCAATCTGACTTCAAACACATAAACGTTGTCCCCATAGGAAACGAGTTCTTCGATCATCACACCACTCTTTCCCGCGTTCCTTCCTCAGGTTTCAAACTCAACCGTCTCCGTAAACTCTACACCCGCCAAGTCACCAACAAACACCTCACCTTCTCCAAAAAACTCTCCACCATCCTCAACGACTTTCAACACGATATCCACCCTCTCTACACTAGCCTCCTCCGCTTCGTTTTCGATAAAAAACGTTACACCTTCTCTCTAGGTCAAGTCAAAACCGCTCGGCACATGATCACAAACATAGCTAATGATTACGTCAACCTTCTAAAGTTTGGTGGATCAGTTAAAGAGTGTAAGAGCTTGAAAAAGAGTGCTGTCTCGGGGATGTTTAGTGTTGTTAATGAGATCACTCCTAGTTTAGCTTATTTAGAGCAGTTGAGACAACACTTGGTGAAGCTTCCTTTGGTTGAACCGGAGGTTCCGACGATTATGGTTTCGGGGTATCCTCATGTGGACAAGATTAGAGTGGTTGATTTTGTTAAAAGGTCTGTGGGTTTTGAGGGTTTGAATATGAGGTGTCAGGTGATTGATGGGGTTTTGGATAAGCCTGTGTTTGGTGAGTGTAATGTTGTTGTCGATGCTTTGGGGAGTCATCTTCGTGATGTGATTGTGTTGTTTTGTTTGGATGTTTCTGGCTCTTGTGGTTATAGTGTTGCGGATCAGGTTGTGTTTATGCAAAGTGTGAAGGGTGTGTTTGTGGACAGGCCTTTGTTGATTGTTTGTGATGAGAGTGATTTGATTGAAGTAAATGAAGAAGATTGGAGATTGATTGAAGAGATGATTGGTGGTGTGGGAGTAGAAGAAGAAGTGGGTTTGATGATTAGTGATTTGAGGAGTGTGGAGGGTGTAATCTCTGTGAAGAATGTTGTGTGTGAGAGGCTATTAGATCAAAGAGGGAGGCTTAGTTGTGTAGCTATGGAAAAGGCTAGGATTTTGAGGAAGAACTACTTTAGACTTCAAGAGCTTGTTGATGTTGAACATAAAGTTTCAGATGTTTTGTTTATGCTTGAGGAGATGGAACATGAAGGAGTGAAACAAGTTAAGGAAGAAGAAGAAGATGATTATAAAGATTCAGATGTTTTGTTTAGGCTTCATCAGGAGCTGGAACATGAAAAAGGAGTAAAGCAGTGTGAGGAAGAAGAAGATGATGATGATTTTGTGATGGCTGAGGAACGTTTTACAGAGGAGCACAGGGACCAACTTGTTGCCATTGGCAAGATTCAACCGTTGAGGATATTAATAGCATTTGGTTTTTGTATCCTTGTAGGGAATACTTATGGAGCTGTTCAACAGTGTCTCTCAACTTTAAGTTTTTGAGTAAAAAAAAACGAGTGTAGGTTTTCTAGTGGAATAATTTTGGCGTATTGTTCATTTTTATGTTTTTTTTGAAACACAAACTTCATTCATTAGCAATTAGGTGGAGGTCATTAAAACCTCGCCAACACCAAACAGCTATTTAGCCAGTGTATCTGCATCATTGTTTTCTTCTCTAGAAATCCAACTAAGAGAAACAGATTCAGATACATGGGAGATAAGCAAAATATCGGCAACGACTCCATACAATTCTGGATGCTGTTGATGAGGAGGGTATAGTTTTCCTTGCGATGGTCCGGGACGAGGTGGTACTTGTGATATTTTGGTTTGGGATGCATTTTATTTGGCAGTTTTCTGGATGTTAAATACTATTGGATGGGTTACTTTTTATTGGCATTGGAAACACATCACATTATGGCAAGGTAATGTTTCACAGTTTAATGAATCTTCCTTGAGTCTGATTTTCACACTCACATTCTTCACTCCTAGATCCCTGCACTTCTGTAAAGCTTCATGTAGCACCAGTCCTACCCTCAACCATCAATGGGAAAGGTACGTTTGTTTACTCTTAGATGAGGCACTTCTGTGAATCAGTTTATTTGAGTCTGTTTTTTTTGTTTATGTTTATTTCTGTTTCTTGTGATGTTTTGGCTCTATTTCAATGTCAAAACACCCCATTTAACGTTTATTCAGGACACATGTGTTTCTTATTAAAAGAAAATATATTTTTGAATATCAATTTGATCAAAAAAGAAAAAAAAAATATCAAAAGAGGTTTGGTGTCCAAGCCAGTAATCTCCCATGTCTGAAACCATATTATGTAATATTAGTTTCGTTTCATTAGTCATTCGATCCATGTTTAAAACAACAACATATTTCTCTCGTCTATTGTAAACAACTTCTTGAATGATAAGAGTCCTTTGACCAAACACTTTGTAGAACCACTCTTAACAGTAACCAATACCATATCATACATTGGAGAACAAGTCTAAGAAAACAAAAGCCGAACCAAACCAAAATTTTCCATCAGCAGTAATTGTACTCAGACACTTGACTATGCAGATGAGTGTGTTGACTTCCAACTTAACATTGTGATACCAAAATGTTAGTGGTCTAGTGGTAGCGTAAAAAGGGTCGGTTCCTATGTGTGTGGGATTCAAACTAAACATGTGTGATGTGGAGACACAGGTAAAAGATAAAAACATAGCTTGTGGGTCTTTATAAGCCTAAATCAGTAGAGACCGGTACAAGATTTATTTAGCTTACGTCATAAAAGATGTCAAATAAGGAGAAAAACGATGTCAAGAATCCAAACCGCCTCATCTTGCGAATCGGTTATTTTTTTAATTTTTTGTAATCCCTTTTCATGACATTCCGGTTTACCTTTTTTGTTTCTTTAACCGGTTAAAATTTCGAATTAAAAAAAAAAAATCGGGAAGAGTTAGGAAAAAAAAGAGGAAAATTTCATTTTTTTTTCCTTCTCTCGACGAGAACCACCTCCTTAGGTTAAAAAGTTTATTTATCTTATTATTATTCCCTCTCTACTCGATTTCCCTTAATTCCGATTTCGATTCGTCTTCTCCAATTCGCCTCCTTTTACTTCGCCTCTCTAAACACACTGTAGGGTTTCTAATTCGGATCTGTACTTTGTTTGCCCATGGATACTCGTAAGAGAGGACGGCCTGAAGCTGGCTCCTTCAACTCCAATGGCGGCGGATTCAAGAAGTCCAAGCCAGGTTAGCATCTTTCACTGTTTTAGCTGTTTACAGTTCTGTTAAGCTTCACTGGCTTTAATAAAGGTTGGAACTTTAGATCTCTTTTTGTGTCAATTCGATTTGGGTAGCGCTGATTTTTGCAATTGGAAACTTCGTACTATTTTAAGTCAACAAAGTTGTTTTTTTTTTTTGCTAGTCATGAGATTTAGTAGGGATTCAAGTTTAGATCTTCCTTTTTAATGTTTTCGTGAAGTCTTTTATTTGATGCAATCCAAATTCCAATTAATTGTTTTAGTTTAATGTTTGATGAGCTTTGGATTATGTTTGCGTGATTGAATTAGTGTTTTTTATGTGTTAGTTATTCATGTGTTGGTTTGTTGGTAGATAATTCTTGAGAATTCACATGCATCTTTGATTTTTAAGTGTATGATTCTAAAAAGCAATATTATTGAACATCAGCAAAACTCTTAACTAAAGAAATACACTTTAATCTTTGGACACAGAGATGGAATCTGGTTTAGGAAGCAAATCGAAGCCATGCACTAAATTTTTCAGGTTATAATCCCTTTTTCTTTAACTGGATTAATATTCAAAAATTTGTTATTTATCTTTTAAGCTTGACCTTCAAATTAAACTGTATGATAATGAGGTAGGTACTAGTTAGTTGTTATTACAGGTATGTATCATCAGTTATGCTAAACAGGTTTTTAAAATGTTTCACTATAACCAATGTGATATTCACTAGAAACGGAAAAACGTATGTGGATGGTACTTTAAAAAAAAAATAGTTAACCCAATTGGTGATTCTAGAGTAGAAAGTCAACTCAAACTTGTCTTTAGTTTGAGCTGAGACAGTAGTTGAGAAAGGTGTTGTAGTTTTTTGTTTGGTGGTAAGGTAATAGTGATTTTAGTGTTTGTATCATGATCATATAGTGTCAAGTAAGGTTCTTGCATTCCTGGTGAGCATGTCAAGCTATACAGGAAACGTCTATTTTATATTATTTCTCGTTAGAGTTGAATCTTCCCTGAGCCAAACGTTTACCGCTTTATGTAAAGCAATTAATATAGTTGTTATGTGTCAATTCTTCTGTGTTTCAACTGTTTATTCTCTTGTGTCAATGGTTAACTCTCTGACGTATTTATTTATGTTTATGTTGCAGCACTTCTGGCTGTCCTTTTGGTGAGAACTGCCACTTCCTGCATTATGTTCCTGGGGGATACAATCCTATGGCGGCACAGATGACAAACATGGGATCACCCATGTCTCAAGTTTCCAGAAACATGCAAGGACCTGGTGGTGGTGGGCGGTTTTCAGGGAGAGGAGAGTCTGGACCAGGCCATGTCTCTAGCTTTGGTGCCTCAGCCACAGCTAAAATCAGTGTGGATGCTTCCTTGGCAGGTGCAATCATTGGAAAAGGTGGAGTCAGTTCGAAACAGATATGTCGCCAAACAGGAGCAAAGTTATCGATCCAAGACCACGATAGAGATCCAAACCTGAAGAACATTGAGCTTGAAGGAACATTTGAGCAGATAAACGAAGCGAGTGCAATGGTTAGAGATCTCATTGGGAGGCTTAATTCTGCATCTAGGAGACCACCTGGTGGCGGCGGTGGTGGTGGTGGTGGTGGTGGTGGGCTTGGTTCTGAAGGGAAGCCGCATCCAGGGAGCAACTTCAAGACGAAGATGTGTGAGAGATTCTCGAAAGGAAGCTGTACGTTTGGTGATAGATGTCACTTTGCACACGGGGAAGCAGAGCTACGCAGGTCATGAATTGCGCCTAGTAGAGAGTTTACTGGCGAAAGAAGTCTCTTTAATTTGTGGTGGTGATTCCTTATATCATCTTTTCACCTACTTGTTTTTTAGTTGTCTTTGTTCATGAGAATACAATGTTAGATTTCATTTTCATTTTAAGTGTTCTCTATTTGGTTGTTTTTAGAATCTAGTTTGATTTGAGATTGAATGATTGGCAAACCAGTGGTTAGGATATGTATGCTGTCTTTACTTAATATTCCATGTTTTCTCTGTTTGTTTATTTGGTCATCTGAATATCATCAGATTAAAACTTGCAAACAACATAGCAAGCTGAATGTGTGATGTTCATTTACTATCCTTATATTATTTTCTGAGTAAGCTAGGACTATATACTAAACATTGTCGATGTTTTAGTTCTCTTAATGTTTGATAGACTAACTAAAAATTCATGCTAATAAAAAGCCGTGGCTGATAGTAACAGCTGAATAAATGAAGTATAGTCATGGTAGGTGATGATCTTTAAAAAATATTGAAAATAAGGTGCGTCGTTATAAGCGGTAATGCATAGAAAAACTCTAGTCATCATCTTAATATAAGAGAGAAAGAGACCTAATAAAGTACTTAAAATTCATTGCTAGTCGGCAGTCGCTGCCCACTTGTGTACCACCTAATTTAATTATTAATATAATACGAATCTCCCAAGTACATCACACACCCTTGGGGTTATTCACGTGACCGCAACCACAATATGTCTGTAGATATTTTATTAAGTTTTTTTTCGCATAGGAGAAGAAGAAGCCAAGCACGATCCTCCATTTTCTACTTTTAGCATTTCTTTTTTTTTTTCCTTTCCCGCCACCACTTACTTGTAAATCAGCAAGGACGTTTCCTCATATTAAAGTAAAGACATCAAAAACCATCATCTTAATCCTAATTAACGTAACCTGATGAATTCTACAACATAATCTCCGTGAATATTTGGATTACCAGGTCTAGTGGGTCAACCAATCTTTACATTTTTAAAATTAAATACAAAAGGAAACGTGATAAACTTTTAAACGTGCATACATATATATTCACTGCATCTTATACATCTAAAACCTATCATCTTAATCCTAATTAACGTAACTGATGAATTCTATAACATAATCTCTGTGAATATTTGGATTATCAGTGGGTCAACCAATATTTACATTTTTAAAATTAAATACAAAAAGAAACGTGATAAACTTTTAAACGTACATATATATATATATATATGTTCACTGCATGTTTTTCACTTTTCCGTAAATACATAAGTACCGTAAATAATAAATATCAGATATTTTTGTATAGAAAAGTAATAAAGAAAAAAAATAGAAAAAAAAATTAGAGGAGAGGAAAGAAAGAGGGGTCCACTTATAAAAAAAGATAAAAAAGAGAGATGTCACTCAAACCTCTCTCATCCTCTCTCACCCCACGGGCCGTCAATTTATACGGCCTGCCTTCTGCCCATTTTGCATCTGACCAGAAACCAGAGAGAGAGAGAGAGAGGAGATTCATTACCAAAGAGAGAGAGAGGAGAGAGAGAGTTTGCGGAGGAGCTTCTTCGTAGGGTTCATCGTTATTAACGTTAAATCTTCTTCCCCCCTACGTCAGCTTAAGGTACCCTTCTTCTTCTCATTTTACGTTTTTTTTTTCTTCAATCTTTTGAACATTTCTGGTCTGTGTTATTCTTATCCATCTTATATTATATCTATCATTTCTCGTTTCAGTCGTTTTTATTATAGATCTGTCAATATTTATTGCATTTAGCTTTAGATCTGGTCTCGATTCTCTGTTTCTGTCTGAAAATCTGATGATGTTTTTACCTATATCGTCGAGAATATGAAATGTTGCATTTTTCATGTGTTCAAATACGAAGTGTTTGACTATCGTTTTTTTTTTTAATTATATATTTTTGATGGGTTGGTGGAGTTGAAAAATCACCAACAATTTGCATAACAGTCTCACGTCCTGGTTTTAGAAATATCCTCTCTGTTTTTTTCAAATTTATATATTTGTTTAGATCTGGACCTGAGTATATGTAAATTTGCATTATTTTCACTTCTGGGTAAAAAATCTGCTCCTATGTGTTATCCTTCCCAGATTTGACCGATTCCTATTGGTTGTTAGTTCATAATAATTCTTTCTTTGAACGTCGGTTCTGTAATTACTTAATTAAGGGGGAAAAAATTCACTGGCTTATGCTAAAACTGAAACTCTGTTTATATATTTTTCTTTAACAATTTAATCCGATTTAGGGTAGGTTAATTCCGGATTAGATGCTCTTTCATCTATTCAGATACAGATAAGAGTTACATGATGAACATATCTAGGATTCGTGACAGGAAAAATATTTACTGTTTTGTTTGTTTCTGTTTAAAAGAAATGATGACAATAATATTGGTTGCTCTCAAATTCAATAGGAATTAAGATTATGACTTTGTCTCTTTAGCGTATTTTAGAAAAAGATGAAAGAAATTGATATCCACAAGAAAGAGATGTGACCTGTCGTATCAAATCTCCATTCGTTACTAGTCGTATTCTCAACGCTATCGATTATTTCTTTCTTTAGCTTCTCTTCTCTTTTGTTCCACGTACTATCCATTTTTGTGGTTATCCATTTTCTAAAAACTTACCTTTCAATCTTTTGTCTGAAGATTAATATTGAGTTTCAGCTTCTAATTGAATTTTTGTTTTTGTGTTTTCTTGCAGAAACATGGGTGCAGGTGGAAGAATGCAGGTTTCTCCTTCTCCCAAGAAGTCTGAAACCGATACCTTCAAGCGTGTTCCCTGCGAGAGACCGCCCTTCACTGTCGGAGAACTCAAAAAAGCAATCCCACCGCACTGTTTCAAACGCTCAATCCCTCGCTCTTTCTCCTACCTCATCTGGGACATCATCGTAGCCTCCTGCTTCTACTACATCGCCACCACTTACTTCTCCCTCCTCCCTAACAATCTCTCATACCTTGCTTGGCCTCTCTACTGGGTCTGCCAAGGCTGTGTCCTAACCGGAATCTGGGTCATCGCCCACGAATGCGGCCACCACGCCTTCAGCGACTACCAATGGCTAGACGACACCGTCGGTCTCATCTTCCATTCCTTCCTCCTCGTCCCTTACTTCTCCTGGAAGTACAGCCATCGCCGTCACCATTCCAACACCGGTTCCCTTGAGAGAGACGAAGTGTTTGTCCCCAAGAAGAAGTCTGACATCAAGTGGTGGGGTAAGTACCTCAACAACCCTCTCGGACGCACAGTCATGTTAACAGTTCAGTTCACTCTCGGCTGGCCGTTGTACTTAGCCTTCAACGTCTCGGGGAGACCTTACGACGGTTTCGCTTGCCATTTCCACCCTAACGCTCCCATCTACAACGACCGTGAGCGTCTCCAGATATACATCTCCGACGCTGGTATCCTCGCAGTCTGCTACGGTCTCTACCGTTACGCAGCTGCGCAAGGAGTGGCTTCGATGATCTGCGTGTACGGAGTCCCGCTTCTGATTGTCAACGGGTTTCTAGTTTTGATCACTTACTTGCAGCACACGCATCCTTCGTTGCCTCACTACGACTCCTCTGAGTGGGATTGGTTGAGAGGAGCTTTGGCTACCGTTGACAGAGACTATGGGATCTTGAACAAGGTCTTCCATAATATCACGGACACGCACGTGGCGCATCATCTCTTCTCCACGATGCCGCATTATCACGCGATGGAAGCTACTAAGGCGATAAAACCGATTTTGGGAGATTATTACCAGTTCGATGGAACGCCATGGTTTAAGGCTATGTGGAGGGAGGCGAAGGAGTGTATCTATGTGGAACAGGACAGGCAAGGTGATAAGAAAGGTGTGTTCTGGTACAATAATAAGTTATGAGGATGATTTGGTGACAGAAGAACAAAGAAGATATTGTCACGATCTTTATTTTGTTGTCTCTGGTCGTCTTTGTTTTAAGAAGTTATGTTTTTTTGTTTCAATAATCTTAAATTGTCCATTTTGTTGTGTTTTCTGACATTTTGGCTAAAAATTTATGTTATATGGGAAGTTAGTGTCTAAATTGTCTTGTGTCTGTATTGGTCTTCTCATTGCTGTTATGTTTGGGATTATATAGTAGTAATGTGACATTTTGGACAACTAGACTCTTGTTCTCGAACTATATCATTGTGGCTTCCTTAAAAGTGTAATGGCTTATGTTTCTCTGAAGCTACTATTATCTAGTGAATCTTGACATCCACCACCTTGTTTGTTTAAGACCTACCAATGCTATAAGCAGGTTTTTGTGTACAAATGTTTAACACACCTCAAGTGAACCATGAATCTAATCTTCATTACAATTAATTTAGTTTGAGTTATTGTGTTGGCAGATCACCTTTACCACTCACACTCTACTCATGTGGTTTAGATCTCTTTGTAGGAGTAGCTTTTTGTATAAAAAAACTATGTTCTTCTCTTTTAATTTGTCGAAACCTTTCAACATAAAGCCAAATTTATTACTACCTTACACAAAATCTCTGGTTTCTTCATCTTTCTTTGTTTTCAGATTTGAGAGGGACCAAAAAAAGAAGATGAAGAAACAACATATCTCTTTTCCATTAATGGCAGAAACACAAAGAGAGTGACAGAGAAACAAATAAAAGAAAAAAAAAATATATGTAACCAACTCGATGAACACATTCCAATACGAAACAATCTTTCATCCAACAGCGAGAGTAATCTAGAAGCATTTCCTGTGGACTATAGATGGTCCTGCCTCATCATACTCAGCCTTTGCTATCCACATCTGCAACACCAACATTGTGTATCATCATAGTCAGCTTCAAAAATAAGTAACAAGCAGAAAAAAAGATCAAATCAACGATTACCTGTTGGAAGGTACTGAGTGATGCTAGAATGGATCCTCCAATCCAAACACTATACTTCCTCTCCGGTGGAGCAACCACCTTAATCTTCATACTACTCGGAGCAAGAGCAGTAATCTCTTTACTCATCCTATCAGCAATCCCAGGGAACATAGTGGTTCCACCACTAAGCACAATATTTCCATACAAATCCTTTCTAATATCAACATCACACTTCATGATAGAATTGTAAGTCGTCTCGTGGATACCAGCAGCTTCCATTCCAACCAAAGACGGTTGGAAAAGAACCTCGGGACATCTGAACCTCTCCCCTCCGATGGTGATCACCTGTCCATCAGGTAACTCGTAACTCTTGTCAACTGATGAGCTAGTGTTTGCTGTCTCCATCTCTTGCTCGTAGTCAAGTGCTATGTAAGCGAGTTTCTCTTTCATGTCTCTCACGATTTCACGCTCTGCTGTGGTGGTGAATGAGTAGCCACGCTCGGTTAAGATCTTCATGAGGTAATCGGTGAGGTCACGACCTGCAAGATCAAGACGTAGAATGGCGTGTGGAAGTGCATATCCTTCGTAGATTGGAACCGTGTGACTCACGCCATCTCCTGAGTCCAACACAATACCTGAAAAACAAAATGGACAATGATTCCATACCTAAAGACACCCAATTTTTTTGACGTTTTAACCGAATTAACTACAAAACCGAAACTGAATGGGATCAAAAATTATCTCGTATATTAACCGGTTCCTAATTTTATTACAAAACCGAAATAACCGAATTGGAATCCAACAAAAAATTTCTAAATACCCGAACGGATCATAAACCTCTAGAACAGAAAATCATAAACCTCTAGAACAGAAAAACCGAACCGGAACGGAAAAGAACCGAATGTTAGGGCTAGCTAAAGCTATATTACATAGCAACTAAAGATTTTTTTTACCAGTTGTACGACCACTGGCGTAGAGGGACAAAACAGCCTGAATAGCGACATACATAGCAGGAGTGTTGAATGTTTCAAACATAATCTGAGTCATTTTCTCACGATTAGCCTTAGGGTTAAGAGGAGCCTCAGTGAGAAGAACAGGATGCTCTTCAGGTGCAACACGTAGCTCGTTGTAGAAAGTGTGATGCCAAATCTTCTCCATGTCATCCCAGTTGCTGACGATACCATGCTCAATAGGATACTTGAGAGTCAAGATACCTCTCTTTGACTGAGCCTCGTCGCCAACGTAAGCATCTTTTTGTCCCATACCAACCATCACACCAGTGTGTCGTGGTCTACCAACAATGCTTGGGAACACAGCTCTTGGTGCATCGTCTCCAGCGAATCCAGCCTTTCATAGAGAGAAACGATGGACACACAATTTAAAAGATTTTCAGACAGCATTTTTTATGAAACAAAGTTGTCACGTTTATTATTTACCTTAACCATTCCTGTTCCATTGTCACAAACAAGTGGCTGAATGTCCTCTCCATCTGCCATTTTCTGTTGATTTCTGAAACTCTATATATATGTCAATGATTCAAATTGTTAATACAATTACAAACACAAATACAATAGCATTCTTGAAAACAATCAAATGAACATGAAGAAATCTCAAAAAAATATCTGGGTTATATTCTAATCACTGCCATTGTTGTAAGTTTTCTTTTAAAAATGAGGTAAGTCTGGGAATTTATGTTTTTACCTGATAGTTTGCGAGGAGAAGAAACGAGCAAAGAGAAGAGCGAATGAAGAAGAGAATATAATGGAAGAGCCTCTCTGAGAAAAAGAAGTTTTGTTTTAATTATGGTTGGGAGAAGATCTGAGCCGTCCAATTTATAAGATGTGAAGGAAGGAGGACCCCATGACGAGTCATGTTGATGGTGGATACAGCTGTTCTAGGTCTCTCATAAATAGTAACGACACTCAATTGATTAATTTTATTATTTTTTCGAAGTTTGGTAAAACGTAACTGGAAAATCTCTACTCTGTAAAGTATCTAATGAGTTGGAAGATGTTCGTTAAAGGGACAAATCCACCTAAAAATTTATTGTATATTAATTGGTTGGAAAATGCCTGAATGTGATTTGGTAACCGACTTTGTTACCTACTAAATTTAATAAAATTTATTTATCAAAAGTATTATCATACTGTATTTTTTGGTTACAAGATTTCAAGAAACATATACACATAACTAGGCATAGACATATTTTCTAGATCCGAGGATCCGAACCGGTACCATTCCAAAAAATCAAATTTTGGATCGGATTTAGATATACATAAATATCTGATCGGATATGGTTTGCAAAATGTTTCAGATACCAGATCGGTTCGAATTATATCCGATATCTAAACCAGTACCCGAATAGATCTAATATGTAGATTAGTAAAGTAGTTTTATAACTCTAAATGTTCTTTTCTATTTTCAAATCCCCTTAATTATTGTTACCAACTTAGGATTTTGTTGTATTAAAATGATTTAGTTTCTTTTAATTTTTTTTCTTTAAGACTATCAATTATCTATTTTGATTTGTGTAAGTATGTTTTAGAGCTGGATATTTTGGATAAATTTGGATCTTTTGGTTTAAATTTTTGTTGATACACATAGAACCGAATCCGTAATTTTTTTGGATATTTCCGATATAACCGATCAAAACTGGATCCAAGAGGTAGCGAACCGTATCCGATCCGAAATTTTGAAATATCCGAACAATACCAATTTTACCCGAAATTTGAAATAACCGACCCGAATCCGATCCGGTATCAGAATTCTCAAGCCTACACATAACCACAAAAGTCGAGAGCCAACCAAAGTTCAGTTAGGCGTTCAGTGTGGTCACCGCATCTTGACTTGTGGGTCTTATACGAGCTACTCAAGTTTCAAAATAGCCCATTAATAAATCCAAACTTCTATGGGCTTAGAATATTGGCCCATCAACATTTCTCTTGTACTCACACACCAGTCTACTCCGAAGACTTGTCGTTGCGGATCAAACCGAAAGCAGCAAATCATCATGGATCGATCCGTTTCCTTCGATCTTCGCCGCGACGACGACCTCCCGAACGATCGGAGCAGCGACGTCGGATACACCGCCAACGATCGGAGGCTCGCTTACTCCCGATCCTTTCACCACTCTCACGGCCCGCGAACCCCCGCGGCTGCGACCAAGCCTTTTCTCGATAGGACGGTCTCCGCGATCGATATGCCGCCGGAGATATACTCCGTCGACGGGGATGACGTGTTTTTCGGGGGAGGGAAATCGGCGACGGCGATTGGGAGAGTTTCGGCTTTGCGTATGGTTTTTGTGGTTTTTGGTGTGTTGAGAAATGGGAATCGGCAGATGAAGAGGCTGTTTCTGTTGATTTCGCTTAATGTTGCGTATTCTACCACGGAGCTGTTGATTGGGTTGTTGACTGGGCGTGTAGGTATGATTTGTTTTTAGGGTTTAGCATGTTTGTTACTCACTCCATTTCATTGTAATTGTCATTAAAAGTTTGTGTACACAGATTAGGAAACCATTTAGTTTTTATATTTTCAAAATAAAAACATAATTAACTATACACATAACCATATTTTAACTAATAGAAAAATAGAAAAGTTGATAAAACTAATAAATTCTGCATTGAAACAATAAATGACATTTATTTTGAAACCAAATTTTTTCTCTAGAACGACGAATAAAGTGGAACGGAAACGGAGAGAGTACTTGGTTTTAGTTCTTGGTGACTTTGATTTGAGGGAGAGACTTGGATTTGTTGGAGAAATAAGACTTTAGGTCGACGGTGTAGTGAGTAGAGATATAGATGAAATGAATCAGCTAAAGGGCCAAGATTTTAATTCCAAGTCTTGATTTGATATAATCTGAATCATGGAACTAATTACATGGATAGTGCGTATTCAGAGAACTTGGTTATGCAGCTGTATTATCGGATTATTTATTAATTATTGTTGTTTTATTTGACTATTACAGGTTTGGTATCCGATGCATTCCATTTGACGTTTGGATGTGGTCTCTTGACGTTTTCTTTATTTGCAATGGCAACTTCAAGGAAGAAGCCTGATCATGCTTACTCATATGGGTACGTAAAAACTAAAATTTGATCCTATTAGTTGGTGATTTTATTTGTTGGAGATATGGGTTGGAGTGCATGCTTTGCGGTAGTTAACGTTTGATTGCGCCAAATTTTTTAAATTGTTTTTTTCATTTCTTTCTCTGGAATCATTCCTAAAGTACATCCGCTGTTGTTTTCGTAGGACACAGTTTTTCTAATTGCTGAATTTGAAACCTTGTATGTTTGATTCTTTTGCTGAACTGGGTAACTTAGAAATCGCTGGCTTGTTTTTACCAGGTACAAAAGACTTGAAGTTCTATCTGCTTTCACTAATGCTGTAAGTATGCTCTCAACGTATTTTGAATGACTTTTTTTAGTTTTAGTTTGACGGTTTAAAGGCTGATGCCGTGCAATAAAAACTAGTCTAATCCGAGTCGTGTTAAGAGCTTAACTTAGTGTTAGCACGCTTTCCGTTATTGTTGTTAATAGAATAGAGTAATCGTACAGCTCGTTAAAAATGTGGATTATCTTTTCATTTTGCCTTCACTGTCTCATTCTCTTTTTTTTTCTTTTGGGTTAACACATTGATATGTTCAGTATTGACATATGTGTAGACAGCTGTTTCTTATGTTCATGTCATTCTCCTTGGCTGTCGAAGCTCTTCATGCATTTATACAAGACGAGTCTGAGCACAAGTAAGTTTCTTCTCACAAGTGACATGCCTAGGAGCTTGTAGTTATTTCTCTGGCACTTACTAAGTTTACGCTAAGTTCTCTTCATTAGTGTGATGTATTGAAATCTCCTTGTTGCAGGCATTATCTGATTGTATCAGCGGTAACGAATCTGCTGGTGAACCTACTAGGTGTTTGGTTCTTCCGGAATTATGCTCGTGTCAATATTGGTATGCATTCTCTTATATTCATGCTGAAGTTTTAATTAAAATTGAATGAATTGAGACAGCATGATAGCAACTGATCTGGCTACTATTATTCGTTTGCTTCTTGAAATGATCTGTCCGATTCTGTACATATTCAAAGACCACATTTTCTTGTATAGGTTTCTTACATACATAATATGATGCAGTGTACAGAAAGGCAGAAGACATGAACTACCACTCCGTTTGCTTGCATGTTATATCAGATTCCATCCGCAGGTGTTATATTTTTCGCTCTCTCTTTATCTCAAGCAAAGCCGCTGAGAGCTAGATAGAAAAAATGTTTTTTTTTAATGAAACTTATATACATCCAAGATGACATATTCGTTGCTGCTGTCTTTTCAGTGCAGGTCTGATACTTGCATCTTGGCTCCTCTCTCTCGGGTAATGCGCCCTTACTTTTAAAGGAGCTAAATGAATCTAAAGTGTCTTGTTGCTTGACCTCTTACGTGTTCCATTTTGCTCCTCCTGTCTTGGATTTTTCAGGGTTGAAAATGCAGAGGTCTTATGTTTGGGATTGGTATCAGTTACAGTGTTTATGCTTGTTATGCCACTCTTCAAAGCCACCGGTGGTGTCTTGCTTCAGATGGCACCTCCAAACATTCCTTCTTCCGCATTAAGCAAATGCTTGAGACAGGTTCGCTCTTAATCATAAATTGTTTTCTGAACGTTTAAATATTTCCCATATAGAGAGATCAATCAACCTGGGTTTCTCTCTAACTCTCTTTCTTTACAGATTACATCTCGAGAAGATGTCGTGGAGGTATTACAGGCACGTTTCTGGGAGGTTGTACCTGGTCACACTGTTGGCTCACTCAGAATCCAGGTACTTGCTTCCTTCTTATTTTTTTTTCTATGGGATAAAACATGAGAATTGCAAATGATTTGAGTTGGTTATTTCGGGTATTTGTGTTTAGGTGAAGAGCGGGATAGATGAAAGGCCTTTACTGCAATATGTTTATGATGTATACCATGATTTGGGTGTACAAGACTTGACCCTGCAAACTGATTACATCTGAGCTGCATCTGCTTCTATGTTCTCAAATACTGAGGATTTTGGATGTATACTAGTAGAGATAATGGTTCAATAGGAAGATAACACTTGGTTTCAAGCTTGCGAGTTTCTTATTACTCTTGTTTAGAATTTTATTTTCCTTTTCCCATTTGTCTTTTGAACCATACACACAAGGACCACAATCTTTGTAAACTCTTTTAGCCTTTCAAGTTAGTTTCTCTTTTGGCTAAAATTTTGCATTTCTAAAATACCTTTTTTTCCTGTCAAAAATCATATGCAAAATGTTAAAATCAAAACGGTAGTACGTAAAATTGTCAGCTGAAACAAGGTTTTATTGTTCTTCTTGCTAACACAGTAAAAAAAGCGAAGTGGAGGAATCAAAGATCATATTGTGCTCATCAACCTACAAAACCTAATATTCTCTAAGTTATGGGGATGGCCGGATGGGACAGTACAAGCATCTTAAAAAGCAAATTCATCCGTCCATGTCTATATTATTCTTTGCTTACCCCCGTTTGCTTCGTTGATCATTGTAAATTCAACATAGTTTTCACTAAACGATACAAAAATTGGTAAACAGTCAATTAGTAAACAAATAAAAAATTTAATAAAATGAATGATACAAATATTTAACATAGTTTACTAATTGACTACATGCACATGAGTCACATGACAAAACTAAATTTTATTAATGGAACCTGATAATATATTTTTGCATATAACTGAATTGCAAAAACACAAGATATATATGAAAAGCATCTCAATTATTTCCCGTAACGAGTCAACAAGTTCAAATTGATCCACTATATAATCCATGATTGCAGTTTTTTGGACTTTAAGCTAGAAAGATTATATATAATAATATGGTGTAGTTTTAAGTAATGTACTTTAATTAAGGCACTACTTGTGGTCTTCTTTATTGGTAACTACAACGAGATAAACGTATAAAATAGAATAATAAACAAGAAACAATTGTCCAAAAAGACACTTTTATTTGAAAAATATACTATTTTTATTGTTATTGTTTGGTTGATTCAAATCAAGTGATGACCAGAGAATATGAGCATGAATCATCAAACCATTAACTCTAAACTTTTTCTCTTAAAAAAATTCCCAATTGATAAGAGAATCAAAAGCAAAAAGTAGAGTTAACCAATATAATTAATAACTAAAAAAACAAAGAAGATTGTAGAATAAAGCTGATGAAATTCACATTGCAAGAAGAGAATCTGCTTATTACAAAAGACAGAAGACACTGCTAAGTCTCTAGTTTCTTCTTGATAACACTACCACTACTATGTACAGATTCAGCAACACGGTGATTGGAGTCTTAAACCTCCTCAGCTTACTAGCTTCAATACCAATCATAGGAGCCGCTCTATGGAAGGCAAGAAGCAGCACGACTTGCGAAAACTTCCTCCAGACACCACTTCTCGTTATAGGTTTCATCATACTCTTAGTATCTCTCGCGGGGTTCATAGGAGCATGTTTCAACGTGGCATGGGCTCTTTGGGTTTATTTAGTGGTCATGATCTTCCTCATCGCGACTCTTATGGGTCTAACTCTGTTTGGTCTGGTGGTCACGAGCCAAGGAGGTGGTGTGGAAGTACCAGGGAGGGTTTATAAAGAGTATAGGCTTGGAGATTATCATCCATGGTTGAGAGAAAGAGTTAAAGATCCTCAGTATTGGGTCTCTATTAGAAGCTGTATCTTGAGTTCCAAGACTTGTGCTAAGATTGAATCTTGGACTACACTTGATTATTTCCAAAGAGACATGAATTCTGTTCAGGTATCATTCTCAATTATTATTATTTATGTCTAACGTTTCTTTTGAAATTATAAACACTAAATGTAAATATATTTAAAACTTAAACTCTAATTTATATTCCTTCCGTTTCAAATTAGATGTCGTTGTAGTAAAAAAAATTCACAAAATAAATGTTGTTTTATGATTTCAATGCAATTTTCACTATTAACTTTTTTACCCTTATTTAAGCTAAGATAAATAATAATTGTTATGTAATTATAATGGTCAAATAAGAGTAATTTTGAACATTTAATTAATTTCTTAATTCGTGTGCAAAACTCTAGAATGACAACTAATTTTAAACGAATGGAGTATAAATTATTTTAGAATTTTGTTAGTCTTTTTATTTTACAAATTTGAGTTATCTCTACCATTCCATTTGCACATGATATTCACTTTTATTTTTCTAATATTTTCATTGCCCTATGGTATAAGCTAGCATCTTCCTCAGTTTTGTATGTGTGTGTTTGATTTATAGTCGGGGTGTTGTAAGCCGCCAACGGCGTGCACGTACGAGACAGGAGTCATACAAGGAGGAGAAGATTGCTATAGATGGAACAATGGTATTGAGACGTTATGCTACGAGTGTGATGCTTGTAAAGCTGGTGTTCTTGAAGAGATTCGTCTTGATTGGAGAAAGTTGTCGGTCGTCAACATTCTGGTCCTTGTCCTCCTCATCGCTGTCTACGCTGCAGGTTGCTGCGCCTTCCACAACACTCGTCATGCAGCTCATCCTTATCATCCTTCTGATGATAACCGCATGACTAAAGTCCGTCCTCGTTGGGACTATTACTGGTATGTACTACTACATTGACTCGCATTATACTAACTCATATATCATTATGATCTCATTTCACTTCTTTTTTGACAAAAAAAATGAATATTTATAATGTTTTTGACGAAGGTGGTTTCGTGTTTCTTTCTATTACAGGTGGAGATGGTGGCATGAAAAGAAAGAGCAGCTTTACTAAAGAGCCTCATCGTCTGTGTTTTCTGTCTTTCATCATTTTTCTTTTTACCAACTTGAGATATAAGAAAACATAAACATAAGAAACTTTGTAGTTCTGTTTTCTATAAATCGTCAAGAGAGTAGTAAATCTTGTTTTAATTATCAGAAAGAAACAAAAGGAAAAATACATGGAAGATCAATAGAGACTATGAATTAGTTAAATATATATTGAACTTGAATACATTATTTCTCAAGAAATACACATAATCAAACAAATATAATTTTGACATTATGAACCTTTGGTTGCAAGTTTCTTCTCACGTGAAAGACTTGACATTCTCATTGTTCCTCCACCTGCAAAGTTTTCCAAGTTACACATAACAATACATTGCCATATTTTTTCAAAACGAATCACAAGTTTAATGCTATAAAGACTACTAGTACCTCCTCCATTTTTGTCAGATCTTTTACGGCTGCGCCAAAGAAGCCGAATAGGAGTCCCAGCAAAGCCTGCATCAGTACGTAGCTGCTTCTCCATGTATCTTCTGTAAGTATCCGAGAACAGCTTTGCATCGTTTACAAAGAACACAAACGTTGGTGGCCTAATTGCTGCCTGCATTAATCACATAAACCTCATTACAAAGATTTGCCTTTACTGCTAATAGAAAAAACACTAGGAGATGTTATTATTATTTACCTGAGTGCAATAATAAACACGGCCTCGTTTGCCTCCTCTGGTTCTTGGAGGGGATTTAAACGCAACAGCTTCTCTTATCACTTGGTTCAATGTAGCGGTACTAAGTCTTCTTGATCTCTCCTTTTGAACCGTTGCAGCAGCAACCACAATACTACATTTTCATCCAACAGAATAAGTAAAGGACTATATCATTTTTGAAACTTTTGAAAGAGACGTACTTGTCAACGCTATGGCCAGTTATAGCAGTTGAATAAACAATGGGTGCCCATTTGAGGGAACGGAGCTTCTCCCTAACATCATCCTCATAATGTGCTGCAGTCTGTTGGTTTTTGTTTGGTATTGTATCCCATTTGTTTACAACTACAAGACATCCTTTCCCTTCTCTCTCTATTCTTTCTGCAATCTTCATATCCTGTGTTCCCAATATAACAACCATTAAGCAACGAGAAGAAGATGAGTTTGTTTCCCATTTGTTAGTGAGATACCTGCTCTGTTATGCATGCCATGGCTTCAATGACAAGAGCAACCACATCAGAACGACGAATTGCTCTGAATGCACGATTCACTGACATGGCCTCTGTAGTGCTCCCTGATGACGCCACAGCTGCCTTTTTCCTGATCCCAGCCGTATCTATTAGCCTAAACTTCTGCAACACAGTTTAAAAATCATATTTACTGTTATATGGATCAAATGCACCTTTGATCATTTTCATTTCTCATCCTCACTGCTCATATTCAGAGTTCAGCAGAATCCAACTTAGACAATGCTAATCCTTGATGATAACAGTCAAACCAAAATGACTTAATTGCTCGGAGTTAACATGGAAAGCGCTTAGTATAGATGACAATTAGCATAGAGTGAAAAGGCAGGCAGAAGCCTTTTGTTGGGAATTTTGATAGGAGAAAACTAAGCAACTCAAAAAGGAAAGCAGAGATCATTGAACTGACCTCCCCATCTGGTCCGGTAAATTCTGCATCAATAGCATCACGGGTAGTGCCACTAACAGGGCTAACAATTGTTCTATCCTCTCGGACAAGTGCATTCAAAATGCTGCTTTTGCCAACATTTGGCCGGCCTATAATTGCAATGGCAGGAATGTAGTTTTCTTCTTCCTCCTCTTCCATGGTCTCCATTATCTAGAAAAAAAAAAGCATTGGTTTTGGTACTTAATTTGTAAACTGATGCCAGTTGAACATACTAAAAAGGTTACAAACCTCGAGTTTGTTTAGTCCAGAACAAACAAGATCAAGCAGCTCTCCTGTTCCAGTTCCCGACAATGCAGAAATAGGGATAGGTGAAAACCTGTAAATTCCATCATGATATGCTTGTTAGCTCAATGCCACATAATTTTTAAACTGACAAAGAAATGTATAGCAATTGGAGAAAGTATGATTACAAGTACTTAAGAAAATATTCAAATGTCCCACTAACAATTAAACAGCAACAAATATTCAAACCATCTAATAAAAAAGTATCAAATGACATCTGTCCATGAATTCTCTATTTGTAAGCAGCTGAAGTATCAATGAAAAGCTATGTATATGCACAAACATGATTCTGAGGTAGGATGAAAGTCAAAATTACCCAAGAGACCAAAACTCTGAAGCCTGCATGAGTCCTTTACGTGGTGACTCACATTTGTTCACCGCGAGAATAATATTCTTATGTGAGTAATACTTCCGCAACCAGTCTGCAATTTCCACATCAGCACCTGTAGGCCCTGTCTGCGTTCACCAAAACCATCAACCATACATCAACAACATTGCTTCATAAACCAAGAAACACTCAATTATGCTTTAAACTAAAAGACTTTCACAACATCAACTTGAGATAAGAACCCAAACCTGGCCATCCACAACGAAAACAATAACATCTGACTCTTCAACAGCAGCAGTAGCTTGTTTCTCAATCATGGAAGGCATCCTCGCAACAGCAGCCTCCCTAGAGCTTAACGGAATACCTTCCATACCAATAGTGGTGGAAACATTAAGCTCTTCCATGACACCAGCTGGTGACTTAGAAACAGTCATAACACCTCCTGTGTCTACAACTACAAACTCTTGATCACCCCAATAAGATCTACCGTACAACCTATCCCTAGTAACTCCAGGTTCATCCACCACTATTGCTTTATTCTCCTGCAAATTGTATTAAAGAACAAAGTTAAAACTCTCTCTCTACCATGGAAAAAAGATGCCAGCAGACGTTTTTACCCCAACGAGACGGTTGAACAGTGCTGATTTGCCGACATTGGGCCTTCCAACGATGGCAACTCTTTGGAGAAGATGCTCTGGTATCTGTGTCTGGTTCTGTATTTTTTAAATGTCAGTAACCAAAAATAAAATAAAAATCAAAACTTTATCTACTTAAAGAAGGTCTCAAGCTCAAAGGAGGAGCCTTTATATTTGACTAACATTTTTGGCTTGTCTTTTGCCCTTTCTACGTGACTCTTTCCCTTCAACTACATCATCCTCTGGAACACATGAAAGCTATTGATTATTATTCAGACTCATTTGAAAAAAAAAGTGCAAAAAGACAGAAGCTTTACCGAGTTTGAGCTCGCGAGACAGAGTAGTAGCGTAGTCTCTAACGATATCTCTCGCTTCTTTTTCAAGAATTGAGATATCGATGGAGAGTTCTTCTTCTTCTTCTTCATCTGACTCCTCTTCAGGGTAGTTGTCTTCTTCGGATTCCTCGAGCTCTAGCTCGTCATCATCGAGAGTTGCTGAAACAGGGTAAGGGAGGCGAGGATGCGAGTGTTTGTGAGAGTAAGAGAGAACAGAGGGATGAAACAACGGCGAAGAAGCAAAGTAAGAAGAAAAAGAAGAAGAAGAGGCTGAAGGAGAAGAGATTTTAGGTATTGAGGGAATAGAGAAGAAGCTTCTGGTTGTGAGTGAGTCGAGTAGACTCGCCATTTTGTTTTTTGTTTTTTGGCAGAGAAGAGAGAAGAAGAAGCAACTGCGAGAGGTTTATCTTCTTTTTCTGGGTTTTATTATCCGGAACCGGTTATGTTCGGTTTAATTTACATAACTCGTGATTTCTGGTTATCTTGTGGAGACGGGTTATCATACCGATCGGTTCAATCAAAAGAGCCGGTTTCAATCGGGTTATATAACACATTCTGGTTTAACAATTGAAATACTAACCGAATCGGTGTAGATGTATCTTATGTAGCTGTAGAAATTAAATAAGAAAATAAAATATATTTCTACAGCAATTCCACGGTAATATTTTTTTTGCTTTAGAAAATAAGGTTCCTACAACCACTTTTTTATTTTTTTAACTTTAGCTTTAAAAATAAATTAAAGCAATTCTACATACATGGTTACAAACATTACAGTATTATGATATAATATATATTAACAAATTTATAAATTATATATCACAGATAACGTATACAGTTACAAACAGTATTTATGATAATATATAATAACAAATTTATAAAATAAAAGTTTTATTACCGTAACAGTTCCTTTTGCCCAAGCTAGAGTTTGAGGAGACGTGTCGGAATCTGTGAAGAAGCGGAGGCGGTGACTAGGAACGCCATAGTAATCAGCCACGGCTTCCTGATACGCTTCAAACATTATAACCCTTCTCACTGTGAGACTCAACTATTTTTCAAACATTATAAGTTGTGTCGTGAGCATGAGTCTGGTGTGTGTCTACTATTTTCCAACCACATCAAACAAAACACACATATTACCTTTTAGTTTGTGAGAAAATTGATTTGTAATGGTTAGAAACTTTCCGAGATTTATTTCATATGGATACTCGTACCTTTGGAATACCTGCTAAAAAAACAAAATGAAGTGCATGAGGTAAAATCAATAAAAATAAGTAGCTTTCAAATCTCTAACTCGCATGAGATCCAAGTAGGTTTTGACTTTATTGCTAATATATGACTTTATCTCTAACTCGCATATGTTAGTTTTCATCAACTTATTACCATGACTTTTTGCACAAGTTGGGCACAAATGTTAGTTTTTGGATCGTCATAATTAGTTGGAGAATGAATTTCAACCTAACAAGACAACAAACACCATGAACCTAGTACAATGTGAACTATAACGTTGCGCTAAGTATTGGTTCTCAAAAATCTCAAATACAATCAAAAAAGTAATATATTTTAAAAGAAACAAAACACCTAAGAGTTTCATGTCATGTTGTACTATAAAGATCATGGAATTAAAACTTTCCATCTTTGATATCAAGATCCATTTCATAAGGATACATGTAACTACAATTCACCTGCTAAAAAAGAAAAAGAAAATGCATGAGGTCACATCAAGTAAAAAAAGTAGCTATCATGTTTGCTATTCTTTATCGGTCTTATTCAGTTCAGTCATGACCGAAAGAGTACATTGGATTGACAAACTGAATCTTGTCATGTTAATCTTGGACTGTCAGGTTTGTGTCCAATATTGGTCTTAATAAGCTCTCATATTCTAGAGCTTTTCATGAAGTTCATGTGTATTTTGAATAATATATGGAGAAGAGATGAATTTTAAATAGACCTGGCTGTGGTGCTGATATATTTCACACTTACTTGGAGTTACATGTAACTAAAATTGTTTTCCTTTAGTTCATTTGTCATTGTAAAGCTAAAGAGTATTATGTCTGTTTAAATCCAATATTGGTTCAGTGTTCTCTTTCCCTTGGTGTCAAACCAATTGATCATACATATGCTTTGCCAACTGATGTCATCAAAAAATGAACCATTTGTAATAAACTACAAATGCAACAACATCAAGTGATTAACTCATCTCTTACTTTACATCATGGCACTAATGTGATTCCCATCTCTTAATGGCAAATCTGAAAAGAGACCAATGATTCTAAGAGTTCCCTTTTCTTTTCATCAATCTGAAAAGATCTGCATTCATCTAACAAAAAAGATTCTGACTTTTTAACTACTATACACCTTTAGGTTTCCGTCTTCTATTACCGCGAAGCTGGTTTAGCTTTACAATCATCTCAGCATAGAGAATCTCGTTCCAAGAATCAGGCACACCTGGGAGGCACCAGTGACTACAGTCTTGGTACAACAATGGAGCTTTGCTTTCTTCTGCAGATAGTTTCTGTTTCCTATAAACTGACGGGTGAGCATCCTTTCTGTAATCTGTTAACCTCGTGATGTTGAGATACGTGACCGGCGTTTTCATCCCCTTTAAAACTTTTTCAAGTATTAACATTTTAGAAGGGTAAGGCGTTAGGTAAGTCTCGTTCTTGATCGGTTCTGTTTCATCATCACACGCTCCTCCTGCATTCCATTGCCCACCACTACAACCAAACCAAACCAAACCAACTTTTAGAAACACTTCTTTTATACTCCCTATGTTTAGTGAATTTTTTTGTTTCAAAATATAAATAGTTTTACATTTCTAGCTAACTTTTAGAATTGGATATAATGTGACCGATGGAACTATATACAGTGAAACCTCTATAAATTAATAATGTTGGGACTATACCAAAATTTTATTTTTTATTTATTTAGAGAGATATTAATTTATAGATATACTAATTGAACCAAAAATTCAATTTAGGCATATAAAATTATATTAATTTATAGAGATATTTAGTGTATATTAATTTATAGAGGTTCTATATAAACTTGTTTATGATTGGTTTAATTATATCTAATCTATATAAAAATAATAACATTCTTAATCTTTGTGTTTTTAGCTAAAACTACTTATAATATGAAACAAAGGGAGATCTCTGTTTACCTGAAATGTGAAGGGGAATATCCACGAAAGAACACAAGAGACTTCATTGGATTCACATTCTTATCAACCCATCGACTCCAAGTAGTTAATGCTTTCCTAAAAGCTTCATCAACGTCGAGTTTTGAGTATACATTACTTCCTTCTTGATAATAATCCTCCCTAATCAAAGCATCTAAACAATGAGACAAATCCACCAAATCAAGAATCAAAAGTAGCTGACAGAACTCTACTACCCTTTGGAAGTTTTGTCATGAGTCCACCAATGTCCAGTATTGAACACAAGAATATCAGCTCCTTTGTAAAGCTCAGACGACTTCCCAACCAAATCTAACCTCAAAGTCTCCTTCTTAGTCCCGTTCTTGTCCGAAACTTCCCATTCTTGAACCAAGAAAGGTGACGCAAAGAACTCCACAGTGCAATCATAATCCTATCAACCACACACACACAATCATTTCCCCCAAAAACAAAGTAATGAAAAACGGATTTTTAATTTCTAAAAGAAAACTTACTTTGAAAACAAAAGAGTACTCAGCCTCCCAACGAAACTGATGTCTTCCATGAGATTCAAAGACTTGACTCTCATCTTTCCCTGATCCTTTAAGAATACAAACCAAAGACTCCCACATGTTCCTATTCAGTGAATCTCCAACAAACACAAGCCTTCTTCCTCTAATCATCTCTAACAATTTACCTCCATTCAACCTATTATATATACATTTACATGCAACATCAATTAATCAAACCATATAATAAAAAGAACTATACTTTAAAGTCAAAAAGTCAACGCAAAGTCTAATTCTTTAACCTTGGTAAAGTACATTTCTTTGGCTTCCACTTCAGTTTCTGAAACTCAACGTCAGGTCTTCCGTTAGAGATGCAAGTAAACTGTTCATCGATGAGATTACACGAACCGGGTTTGTAAAGCGGATACGTATCGTCTTTGACCCACTCTCCCTCGTAAAAATCGCAGTTCTTTAGAGTCTTTATCTCTCGTCTCTTCCACGACTTTTTACTCTGTTTTCTCTTGAAAACAGAGGAATTGACGGTTAGATTTTCAGACAGAGGAGCTTCCGCGTATCCATATTTGTCGGAACTTTTAACAGAATCATTAGTCTTGTTGTCGGGAGACAACATGTTCTCCCTTGCATGCTCGGTCCGGGCCTGAGAAGCATTGTTTCTAGCAAGTGAATATGTTCTATTACTGATGGGAGACTCAAAGGTTGTGTTTTTAGTAGCCGAAGTGAGATTTTCCGGCGCGGGTGCTGGAAATAATGTGGTGTTATTGACGGAGACAGTGACATTAGGGAGAATGTATGAAGGAATGGAGTGAGAGACAGTGATGGGAGAAGGAGTAATGAATAAGAAAACGGTGAAGGCAACAAAGGTTATGACGAAGGCGTATACAAAAGTTGAGGCTTTTCTTGGTTTCACGGCGGAGAAAAAGCCTTTGATATCTACGTATGCGGCGGAGATGAGCGTTCCGCCGTGGATAGGCGTTTGCTTAACAGAGTCTGACGCCATTGAGAGAGAGGAAGGTGATGAGTTCTTTTTTTTTTTTGGCGCGTGAAGAGATTATGTTTTTTCTTTTGAGTGTAGAGTAGAGAGAGAGAGATGGACTTGGGAAAGAGGAAAAGGTGAAAATGTTGACGGAGAAGAGACTTTTTCGTTTTGGGGAAGACAATAAGAGACAGAGGTGTCTGTTGTGTTCGGTAAAGTGATATTTTTGCTTAGGAATCGTCGATAAAAAAAAGTCACCGAGTGTTTTCTATTATAAAATGCCCTTAATTATGGAGGAAACTACGAGAATGCCACTGCTTTGTTTTGTGACGCCAGATTTGAGTTTTTCTTCATATATATTTGGAAATGTTGAGATTGTGATTCCCTTCTTTAAAAGCATGAAACAAAAGGAATGTAAAAAGATAAAAAGAATTCGTTGTTGTTTGAATGGCCAAAGTATATGTGGCAGTTAAGCTGGGGTGGAAGCAAGCAACGGCCTACACGTAAAAAGATGGGTTTACGAGGTCGAGCCCCACAAGGGAACTTATTAGTCACGATTAAACACAAGTTTTTTTTTCCGTTGTCAATAAACGGTTTGAATTTCGTGTTTTTAAAAAAAAAAAACGGTTTGAGTTTCAATGAGGACGAAAATGCTGCAACAATGCTAATAATGCACATCGTGATCGCTTAATTAACGTTTTTGATGTGTCATGCATGATAAAAACAAGGACGCACGAAAATTTATTACACGATTAAATCACTCGAGGCACTCTCTATGTGACATGAGGTCCAATGGAACGAGAGTGTTGCGGATCTTCTGAAGGATCCAAAACACGAAATGAAGCAAACGAGATGCGGTATTTCCGCTTTAAACAACAAGGTTACTAGTATTTAATTGTGTTAACACAAACTACGTGAGATGATTTTTAAAACTTCCTGAAAATTTATACTACCAGTAACCGCAACAATCTTCGAAAACTTTGGATTATTGATCTTGGATCTGATGTAAGAAAGTAACTATTAGTGGGTCAACCACATATTAAATGATTTCTCAAACGATTTTGGTAAGTTTCATAATCTAATACTAAATGCCAGTTTCCGCCTAATTTATCGTTTTAACAAAACAAAAAAGCTACTAATATGTCCACAATCCAATAGACTGTTTACCATAACTAAATTCCTAATGGTAAATCTTATAATCTTGTTCAATAAGTATGTGACCCTCATGCGTTGGTCTGTAACATTTTTCTTAAGTGAATAGGTTGTTGTGTGCCATTAATCCAAACAATGTTAACTAAAGACCAAAGAGTTCATGCATAAACTACAAGTGAAAAACAAATTTCTGCATTGTTTGTATGTCCCTCTTGTTGCGAATTGAAATCATAATCGAATTTATAGATGAAGAAGCATTGCTGATTTTGATTACTTGATAATCAAAATCACAAATCACATTCCAAACCCGAAAACAGCACGGATCCTGTGGAAGATAAGGTCTCTCCATCCTCGCTCCGTGTTTTCCACCACAGTCGCATTCCCGTATCTGCATCAATCAATACAAACATAAGAGAACATAGGTCACACCATAAATGAACGATCTATTCTACACAGGTCTGGGCTTACAGGGCAGGAACAAGAGAATGTAAACAACCAAATACGTTACAAATGAGATTCAGACACTTAGGAGGAATAAGCAAACAAGCGTTCACAAGAAACCAAGAAGCGCTCTATCAGAGTAACCTAAGAGTTAGTCAGTGGAAAGGATTGACATAGAGCGAAGAAGGCTGGATGAGACTACATACATCAAATTAATCAGTGGCAAATATTAACGTAGATATTAGAGTTAGCAGTAGTGTCTGTCATAAGGAAATTTAACTGGCTAAAAGAGGTTTATCGGAGTTGCGATTCAAAGTTTATCTGTTAGGGCTTTAAACATCATACGATTTTCTATCTAAAACAAGCTATCAAGCACTGCAAATACCAGAAAAAATCAATAGCAAACTACCATCTTGATTCTATTTTTTGTTCCAAATCGAAAGTTCAAGACTCAGAATCAAGACCAACTCACAATAGGACAGACTAGAAAACATCAATTAGATCAGTGACACTAACCTGTCTTCTTCAGGAACGTCAGAGTGAGTAAGATTGACAATGGTGACTCCTGGTTCAAGTTCCTCGAAAGTGATCTTCACCTGAAATGTCAAAGCACAATACATCAAACCACAATCACACGCAAACCAGAGTCTCATCCTTCGAAGTCACAAACAAAAAAAAACCACTAAACTAACCGTAGAATCAAGACCATCAGGCCAGCTGCCAAACCTCCACTTCTGCACAATCAACTTCCCTTCTTCAAGCTCCACATTCTTCCCAGTAACCGACCCATCAAAAACACTAATCTCACCATTCACAACTTTACTAATCTTAGCATTACTCTGCGTGAATCCCTTCCAACGATTCTCATCCATCAAAATCTCATACAAATCCTTAGCTCTACAACTAAACTTCTCAGTCATAGTAATCGTCTTAAACCCTTCCTTCACCTTCACCTTCTTCTTCTCCTCCTTCACCACCGCCTTAGTCTCAGCCGCAGCAGCAGAAACAACCGGTACAGCACTAGATTTTGACTTGGGAGGAGCCACCTTCTTCGTCTCCAACTCGTCCCTACAAGGACCTCCTTTCGCCATCGCCTCCACATAAACCCTAACCTTCTCCTGAACAACCCCCTTCCCTTTCTTCACCATCGCCTCCTTCAACGTCTTCCCAATCGCCCCCTCATCCTTAACCGAAACCCTAACATTGAAACATATCAATTATTTTTCTCAAATGATTACCAAAAAAAAAAAATATATTTCTCAAATCATAACCTTCCTACACATTACAGTGAGACTTAACCCCCGGTATACACTAAACCGGATTAAATCTATATATAACCGTAAGTACTAGGCCTGGGCAAAAAAAAAACCGAAGAACCGAACCAAAACCGAACCAAAATATCCGAGAAACCCGGAATGAAACCCTCATCCAAATGGTTCCTATTTCTATATCCGAAATAAATAACCGAACCGGAACCAAATGAGAACCGGATTTTTTTAGTACTTTCTGGTTCCTAATATGTCAAGTAGTAAATGGATCCTCTAAACCTCTACCCGATAACCCAAATACCAGAGAACCAATTACCGAAATGCCCAGGCCTAGTAAGTACCTAATTTCAGGTTCCTCATAGGCATTCTCAAATCTCATAATCTTCCTACAAATTAAAGTGGAAATCTAAAAGGAAACTTAACCACTGGTATACACTAAACCGGATTAAACCGTAAATGCCTAATTTCAGGATCTCTCAAATCATAATCTTCCTACACACTAAAGTGGAAATCCAAAAGTAAAAACTCAACCAACGGTATCTACCAAACCGGATTAAACATAAAATACCTAATCTCAGGATCCTCATCAGCATTCTCATCGGAGATATACGGCATATCCACCAACCCTTCCACCTTCAAGACCGTCTTCCCTTCCGAATCCTTCGCCTCGCCTTCCCACGACAGCGAGACGTTAAGCTCGTAGCCAGGGATGATCTTCCCCTTGCGCACGTTCACGTACGCCTCGCCTTCGAGCTTCTCCACCTTGTTGATCTTGACGAAGAGGTTGGATTCGCCGGAGAGGATGACGGCGTTGGAGAATTGGTTGGTGAAGAAGTTGCGGGACCACTCGAGGCAGTTTGTTTCCGCCCAGTGCCAGTTGTGGACGTTGGTGCCGTCGGGACGGTCTTCCACGATCCAGCGTTTGTCTCCTTCGCCGAACTTCGCCATGGGGATTTTGGGGATTAGGGATTGGACTTAGAAGCAGAGAGTCGAATTCGATGAGATGTGGGGAGAAGCAAGAAGCTGAGAAGGGGAGAGGTGCTAAACCTAGATATATGCAAAGGAACCCTCTAGAAAGATTTATTTACTTTTTTTTTCTTCTATTTCTCATCTGAAAAAAAATAGAAAAAGATAAAATAATTAACTGATAGAGAAAAGAGATTTGGAAGTGTCTAGAAATTAAAACACTTTTCCATAGTTTTTATTTATTGATTCTATTATTTAGGTGAAATTATGTTAACAATCATATAGTAATTGATGATATAAGTAAGTGTATATATGTAACGAAAACCATTGGATTTGTTAACATTGCAAGTAGGGTGAACGTTCGGATATCCATTCGCATTCGGTTTGGATCTATTCGGATTTTGGGTTTCGGAATTAAGCTCCTTTTAGATATTTATAAATTTCGGTTCGGATCCTTTGCTGGTTTGGGTTCGGATTGGATTTGGTTCGAATCTTTGCGGGTTCGGTTCGGACTCGGATAATTTTAAATTTCAAAATTCTAAAAAAATAAAAATGATATATAATATATATATTTGAGTAATGTATGTCAAAATATCTTAACTTAATATGAAATTTGGTTTAGCTGAATATTTGGATGGAGAAATGATAGATTTTTTTAAAGTATTAACGGTATTTTGAGTATTGTTTAACTATTTCAAATATTTACTTTTGATTATTTGTATATATTTCAAATATATTTGGACAACCTCAAAAAAATCTTATACATTTTTGATACTTTTTCGATATTACATCTTAAAATAATTAATATAAAAATATATAATTCTGATTCGGATCTATTCGGGTATCCTGAATATTTCGGTTTGAATCACGTTTGATTTCAGTTCTCTAAATACCAAAATTTTGAACCCATTCAGATTTTTAACCAATTTCGGTTTGAATTCGATACTACTTTTACAGATCAGATTCAATTCAGTTTTTCGGATTCAGATTTTTTGCCCACCTCTAATTGCAAGTTTGCAATAATACCACTAGTTTTTGTTTCTTAACTCTGAATAATTATATTATTATCAATCTGGAAATATATATTACTATTAGTTTTAAATAACTTTTTATATTTTTCTGATTTACTTTTATGGTTATTTCTATAACTTTTTATTTCTCTTTAGCAAAAATATGATTAATTATTTATTTAAGTATAATTTAAAATTACATAATAGAAAACAGTAGATAATATAAAATGATGTGTTAAAAGTAGAATAAAATGTACTTTATAATTAAAATTGAAAATATTATTTCGTTTAAATTTTTTTAGAGGAAATTAGTGAAAATTAGGTTTATATTAAGTTTGTATATTTTAAAAATTGAAATATTTGTTAAATCTAGTTGTAAATTTTTTTATATTATGAAACTGTGTAAAAATAAATTGATATAATAATTCTAAAAATCTAAAATAAGTATATAGGTAATATTTTCAAAATCTTGTGTTATGAGTTAAATAGTAAACAACCAGATTCTAATAAAATCAATTTTAATAGATTTAAAAAGTTATTAAAATATAAACTTTTGGAATAGCAAAATATTGTGTATAATTATGTTAAATCATCAAACTAGTAATGTTAGATCTTAGTGAGATTTTGAGAATCTATAAACAAATAGCTAGATAATCATTATAAATTTAACTCCCCTAGGGCACCAGATATTAATGACATTCATAAGGAAGGTTTATGCTAAGGCTTAACCTTCGGACAGCATAACAGTCACCCGCCAAATAACAAAAACGAAGAAAAGTCAAAGTCGAACACTTTCCAAAAAGTCAAACATCCTTTTGGTTCTGCTCCCAATGAAAACACCGCCTCGTCGATCGAAGCGTGTTGATCAGGAATCGGAAACACCCAAGGTTACAACTCCAGTGGCTCTACGTACAGCGCGAAAGAAGAAGCACTGTTCCAAAACTCGGACGGTTCGGGTCAGACCCGAGTACCCACTGACCCGCACCACCCCCGAGATGAAGCTAATGCCTCCAGAGTTCTTCCAAATCGACGCGCTTGATCTTGCGCCGCGTTTGCTCGGGAAGTTTCTAAGGAGAGACAATGTTGTCCTGCGTATTACAGAGGTCAAGTTCTGTTCTTGTTCCCTCAGAAAAGTTTAGTTTTAACTAGGGTTTAAGGCTTGTGGCTTCCTGGCGATTAACTTGAGGGTAAAAGGTCAATACGGTCAAGTCACTAGGGTTCGAATTCTGCCACTAGTGCATCTCTAGGGACATGGCCTGACTAGTCTATGATTAGACCATTTTTGTGGGTGAGGATACCTTTGTATAATAAAAAAAGAATATTTAGTTTTTTTTTTTGTTGTTGTTTTGGGATTGTTTGATACTCTGACTATAATTGTGGGTAAAAGGTTTTGATTTTGGATTAAAGAATTTAATACACATTTATGGTATTGCAGAATGTTATTATGATTGTAATTTGTAAACGATTTGGATGGAGAATCTAACATTGTTCCTCCTTTGGCAGGTAGAAGCTTATAGACCAAATGATTCAGCTTGCCATGGACGGTTCGGGAATACCCCACGGACCGCACCTATTGTGAGATTCTTCAGTCTGCTTTGCTATCATTTAGTTACGTACAAATCATAACTTCAATGAAATGTGGTTCCTTTTTTATATTAGTTTGGATCTGGAGGACATGCGTATGTTTATCTTTGTTACGGTCTTCATATGATGCTCAATATTGTTGCTGATAAGGATGGAGTTGGAGCTGCTGTTTTGATACGGTCTTGTTCTCCTGTTACCGGTAATCTGTTCATTACACTGTCTTATTTGAGGCTCAAAGTTGTCAGTATAGGCACCTCCATATCTATGCATGTTACTAACTCAAATATTGCTTGACTGATACTGTTTTTGCACTAGAAAAATGATTATATAGATCTTTGGTTGGCTTCATAGGGTGTGATGGTTTTGCAGGGCTGGAGACCATAAAGGAGCGTCGTGGCCAGAAAACCGACAAACCTGTTCTTCTCAATGGACCAGGAAAGGTTAGTCTGATCTGTATCAACTATCAATTTACACCTTGCAAATCCACAATGCATATAATCTGTTCATATGTGCCTCTTGTAGGTCGGACAAGCGCTTGGACTTTCAACGGAATGGTCTCATCATCCTCTCTATTCTCCTGGTTAGTCAGACAAATAAACCAAATCAGTTAATGGAGTTTCTGGTTTTGCTGGTTCTTTAAGAGAGTTTAAGCTTTGTTGTATTAAACGATGTTTGAAAACAGGAGGACTGGAGGTTCTGGACGGAGGAGAAGATGTGGAGAAAGTATTGGTTGGTCCTCGCGTTGGGATAGATTACGCATTTCCTCAACATGTTAATGCCTTGTGGAGATTTGCCATTGCAGATACTCCATGGATAAGTGCTCCTAAGAACACTCTTAAACCTCTCTAACTTCAACCCAAAACTCTTTTAGTTTCACTTCTTGTTCTCTGTAAATAGACATCTGCATGATCACACTCTTCAGTGTCTGTATAGTGTTTATTTGCTGTGTTCCTCTTGAAAGGTGACGATTGCTTTTCTTCATCTGATGTGTTCCCCATGCCAGACTCCAAGACCAATCAGTATGATCATGAGTCCTGGCTTGGGACAGCCGAGTGAGACATTTATCCATAATTGTTTCAAACCCCATAAATTTAAGGACATGTCCCTGTATTGTCTTTCTGTTAAGTAAACCATCTGATGATTTTCAAATAATCATACTTTTATGTTTAATCATACTTACACAACACAAACTCTGGAATCACTGCACAAACATATCCTACTACTTCATGTCTCAAAATGATCGATCGGTTTGTAGCGTCTCTGATACAGAATCAGAGATTTCAGAACCACCTTCTTGAGATCTTCTCAGCTTAGAAACGAGAACCCACATGCTAGCAAGCTCGTTCTCCAAATATGCTTCTCTCTGTTTCGATTCTTCTACTATCCTTTCAAGCTCGGCTTCTCTTTGGTCTCTATCAACCAGTGCAGCTTCGTATGATCGTTCACGCTCTTTGCTCATCCTCAGTTCTCTCTTCAGCTCCATCGACGAGCTCTCTTGCTCTTGTCTCTTTACAAGACTCTCTCTTCTTCCGTTGTTCCTTGCATTTGCTGTTGTTGTTCCTGTCTTATTGCCGCGCTGTGGGACTGAGCTCTTTAGAGCTGCTATCTCGGCAGCTTGTCGCTCGTTGTGATTCATAAGCTTTGCAACTTCTTCAGACAATGCCTTGAGCTCAACTGCAGCTGCTGATGCAAGGCCTTTTGCATATGAACTCTCTTCCGCGAGTTTCCTGTTACGATGTTCTAATTGCTCCTTTGATTCACTTAGTTCCTTGGCTTTCTGTTTCAGCTCTTCAATCTTGGTTTCCTGTCATGTCAAAAAGCAAAGTGACTTTAGTTTGTGAAAGGTGTTGCTTTTTCATATAAAAAGTTTGAGAACCTGTGCTAGTTCCAGGGTATCAGAGAGCTCCTTCTTCAGGTTTGCAACTTCTTCTAGCAACACGTCACATTCACATGTCTGCAGCAAAATACTTCGTTATTAAATTATCTACAGATTATAAACTTGAGACAAATCGATAAAGAAAAAGTTTCTCAACCTTTTGATCGAGTTGGTCCTGAATGATGCCATTATCTGCAGTTTTTACCTGTAAACAAGATGAAGAATGCATAACGTTATAAATGCAATTAGGTTTGGCCTTTTGACCACTGGTAATATATCAGAGAAGCAACTTTATGCAGGCATGAGTAGACATTATATTGGAGCTAAGAGATATAATATCCTCCACGCAGTAGCAAGAAACAACTGATCACCTCAAGTTCAAAAGATTTCGCATTAAGTTGATCTCTCATCTCAGCAAGTGCCTGAAGATATTTATAGATAAATGGCTTAAGAAATAAACCACATGAAAAAGAAGTCACTGCGTAATACTTGACAATGAACCTACCTGTACGATGTCGGATTTATCCAATGCCTCATGTGATGTGATAACAAAATCCAATATCTGTTTCTCCAACGTTGCAATCTGGTCATTCTTTGCATTGATGTCATCATTGAGGGCTTTGATCTCCTCCTAAGCAACACAGGAAGGTGAATATTTGGTAGTTTTAAATACAGATAGACAAAAAAATCTTGAACATAGTGATTATATTTACTTTAATCTCTTCATTTTGAGGGGACTTTGCAGCGTCATCTAACAGCCGTTTCAATGAACTTGATTGCAGCGCCACCTCCTCAGATAATATCTTTTTCTGTTCCCTCAGAAGATCCAGCTCATCGATCACTTTATTGCTAGCCTGGGAACAAGTGCATACAACTCATAAAACACAGCAGGAGTAAAATAGATAATGATGTAGTAACTTTGGCACCATAACAGATTTGACAATATCTGTTCGTACCTCTGGCGTCTCCATGGAAGTGTATTCTAGAGCTTCTCTGTCTTCCCTAGGCTCTGAGAGTTGTTCCCTCAAAGGCGAGCCTTCTGAAAATCTTGATTCTGTATGCAGGTTATTTCCTCCTCCTTGAGGAGTCGATGGTGTGCTGTTCGATTTTACCACACTCGACTGGTCGCTGGCACTTGAACTGTTATCTCTTTTCTGATAAGATAAAATAAGCTTGGGTCAAGAAAGAAACAAGAGAGGCACCAAATAATCAAAGGACACACTCTATACTTGTATCATTATTCTCTGAACAACATGAGAATTCCAGATATTTATAGTGAGTGCGTGATACATGCGCAATAGTTTCTAAGGTTCAGTTCTGAAACGAACAAGAACAAACCAGAATGCTAATAAAAAAAATCAATCATTGGTATACCTTAGGCTTTAACCAGTTTAACAATCCATGCTTCCTGGTCTTCTTTTCTTCTCTAAACGCAATATCTCTAGTCTCATGATTTCCCTCCGAAGAAACATATAGATCAATGTGCTCATCATCCATCAAGTCCCGCCTCTTGTATGGTAGGTAAGCAAGCTGCACATGCATTATCAACCAAAAATTAGTAATTTTGTGTACTTTGCTCCTGCATATCAAAGTGTTACATCCAGGCTATATCAGTGATTCTACCTCTTCTTCACCAAATGAATGTCTCCTCCGAGGTTCAAAGCGATGAGGTAATCGCGATGTTTGTGAAGTTTTAGTTGACACCAAAATTAATTTCGTCAACCGTTGGATTCGACTCAATAGAGCTGCTTTAGCTTCTTCCTCTTCTTCGAGTCTGGACTGCAGCTTGACTTGACCATCCTCTAGCTAATATCATCACGTTATATAGCCAGAAAAGAAAAACGAAAAGACAAGGTTACTAAAGATTCTCTCAGGTGCCTCTTCAGAAAAACATCCCTTACTCATGCTTCAAGCGTACCTTCTGTTTCAGGAGAACGATATCATCTGTGCCATTATCATTCAACTGAGGAATTGGTACAATGTCCTGTTTAAGCTGTTCCAACTCCCCCTTCAGTTGCCGGATCTCGTGTTGATACTTCTTGATTAATGATTTCTCATCAATTATCTGCAGTTTTATAGAGTTAGAAAGAAAGAAAGATCTTTAGTATAGAAGATAAGCGAGGCAAACCTTGTTTTGTTCGGCTTGAATCTCAATATGTTTCGCACGATGAGCAAATTTCAATGTGTTGTGTGTTTCTTCCGAACTGCTTGATGCAGGAGTCACTGTACAAATGAGCTACCATATCCAGAAGAGATAGCTAATCAGTAAAGTATATTACTCTGCTGATGATCACGTTGTGGATTTAACATTTATAGTAGTGAGAGAACAGATCTAACAAGACTTACAGATACTCGGTCATGGCCACTCAATGAGGACTGAAGGATCCTGGTTAACTTAGAGTCTCTGTATGGTACATGCGAAGCCTTCACATCCGTGAGCTTTGATATCACCTACAACATCATAACATAATTATAGGATAATGTTTAAAACATGACCAGAATGTCAAAAACCAAGGTTTTGGTGAGGAGACAATGAAAACAAGAATAACAATTTAAGTTTAGGTTTGGACAAGCACAGATCTGAGATAAAAGTAGCAAGCAAAATGATGTGAAGGGATATTAAGTGTGCCTGATAAGTGTAACACCCAAAAATCATAATTCTTTAGCCAGACCTGATTTTAAAGAAAATGAACTCCTTCGATCTAACTGACTCCAAAACCTGTAGTTGACTAGACAAACTGTGGTAAAGAAAAAAAAAACTTACAGTCCCTAAAGTCAGTAAACTTTTATTGATGTATGATCCTTCCTTGCGTCTTAAACCACTGGTTTCAACCTTCGAACTCTCCGAACCTGCCAGATCAACAAGGTTCTGCAGATACGAGGGAAATTATGGGTAGTTAATATCGTTGAGTTCGCTCTACTGTTGAAAAAGAGTTGATCATAAGATATCACTGGTACAAGAGAAGCTTACCAACTGAGAGAGGTGTACAGCTTCCCCTTTAATCTTGTTGCCTAAGGGACTACTCTCTATTGTCTGCATCCAAATGAGTTTATCATCTTTTAGAAACGGTACAGCTTTATGAGTTAATTTGAAAAGAAAGCAGTACGATAACCATAGATGATAGAACACTTGACACAACTAAACAACTAGAATTAGAATAAACGACAAATAGAAATCCTTCAACAGAAGAAAACACGTGAAAAAAAGAACGTGGTCCACAACTTTTGTTGAACAAGAAATAGAAAGTGTGACATTTCAGAATTCTGTTTTCAAATATTACCGTGATTATACGACTAAAACTATCATTTTTACCTTCTTACCAATAATAGTAATAAAAAAGAACGTTTGTTTTTGTGTGCATCCATCCACAATGCAAGTGTAATCACGGAGAAAAAAAGGATATAGCCACTTCACAAAGCTAACAAGTACCAACGTTTCCAATATTTCAAAGAGATATTGACATACCAACGTAAATATTGTATGGCTCCGGCTGCTGAGCAGATTATAATTCGTGGATCCAACATGGCGTTGCTCTGTCATGAGGACAAAATTTCAATAAATATGAATTGAATTAAATTAAATGTAAATTTACTAGATCGCGACTAGTTTTAAGGATGAATATATATACTAGAATCATGAGGGAACTACTCTCTCAAATTAAATAAAAGCAAAACACACTTTTCAACGTTTTGTATAGCCTCAAGCAGGTAGAGGAGAACCACTTTTCTGATGACAATATCTTTAACAAACGTACAATGACTGCAACAGTCTTTGCTGCCGTTATGAGGATGTGTAGTAAACCTATTTCATTAGCTAAAGGGAAAGGCGGAAGCACCACATACCTTCTCCCGCTGCAATAAGAGAAAGCGCATGAGCAGGAGATAAAACAACTTCTTCTTTAATTCCTTCGACGAAGGTTCCCTAGAATCAATAACAAAGATGGGTTCAATCGAAGAACTTGGAGGAAAGGAC